GCCGGGGGTGGAGGGAGCACCTGGATTCGAATCTGAGGGGGTGGTTGGGGCACAGTGGGGGGCATGGGGGGCACAGTGGGGGGCACAGTGGGGGGCACAGCAGTGGAGCTGGTGGGAGGCACAGTGGGGGCACAGTGAGGGCAGTGGGGGGCACAGTGAGAGGCACAGTGAGGCACAATGGGAGGCCCCAAGTAGGAGACCCATTGAGGCACAGTGGGAGGCACAGTGGAAGCTGTTGGGGGGCAGTGGGGGCACAGTGGATGGGGGGCACAGTGGGGGGCACAGTGGGAGGCACAGTGGGGGCAGTGGGGGGCACAGTGGGAGGCACAGTGGGAGGCACAGTGGGGGCAGTGGGGGGCACAGTGGGGGGTAGTGGGAGGCACAGTGGGAGGCACAGTGGGGGGCACAGTGGGGGGCACAGTGGGGGGCACAGTGGGGGGCACTGTGGGGGTCTCCGGGGGGGGCACTGGGGCTTTGTCCAGGATATTGTGGTTCCATCCTTTTAAAAAAAACTTTGAGATAAATGTAGACTCACTTGCAGTTGTGAGAAATAATAGCCCTGCATTTTAAGATGGTCATCTTACTCTCATTTTTATTGACATTTTATTTGGTATTTGAGACAGGGTCCGCTCTGTCACCCGGGCTCGAGTGCAGAGGTGTAATCACCACTTAGGACAGCCTTACATCTCCTGGGCTCAAGTAATCCTCCTGCCTTGGCTTTGCAAAGTGCTGGGTTACAGGCGTGAGCCACCGCAACCAGCCTCATTTTTATTTTGAGGTCATTGTTTCTCCCCGGATGTTTTTCCTTACCGGATTTGGACAGTGGCCACCTGATGTCTGCCCGCTGAGGGCTTCCTGCGGAGAGATGATGCCGGAAGCCCATTGAGGGTTGGCCACCTCCTCCAAGACGGAGCTCCATCCTGGCTGTGCATCACAGCCGCTGGGTGACAGGGCTCCCCCCAACCTCAGAAACCGGAATCCTGGGCAGCGGTCAGCCCTAAATCCGCCCAACCTCATAAACCAGAACCCGGGCAGCCGTCAGTGCTAAATCCCCCAACCTCACAAACCGGAACCCGGGCAGCCGTCAGCGCTAAAGCGTCCCAGGTGATTCCAACATGCGCAATTATCCAGAGCCCCCGTGATCAGTGAAGGCCTTCGATTGCAGTTTGGCAGCATAAAGATATATATCGTTTATATGCTCATTAATGATTTAAAATGAGATGGACAAAAAGGTAAAACTACTGAGGTGAAATTGGCCCGAGCATCCGGTATCAAAGCGGCAATATCGAACGGGCTCCCTCCCTCCTGGGGGCCCTCGGGTAGTGGCAGGACCCCCTGCACCCCTTGCCCTACCGGTCATGCCAGGCTACCCAGAGGACGTGTGGCTCAGAGGGTGGGCCAGCCCCGAGCCCCACCTGGCCCTTCCCAGGCACACGACCCGACTCGCTGAGGCTTCACTCTTAACAAAGCGCTCCCTAAATCAGAATCAGTGCACACGTGTGTGTGGCTGGCCTGGGCCTGGCTCTGCCTGTCGCAAATCTCTGTACCATCCAAACCTGACATGCCAGATGTGGACCTACACATAGCACGTAACCTGTAACCCCCACTGCTCTCCAGCACAAACACGGACTACGTGGAAAACAGTGTAATCCTAGGATTCTTCCCGAATTCCCCCACCCCATGGGAGTTCCCCATAGCGAGAAATCACGTGAAACACCCTCACAAGCCCGAGCAAGTACAAAAATAAGACAGCACTGAACTCCTGCCTCCCCCTTAAAGGACCTTCTTGCCCTAACGTCTTACGAATTAGGAGGATAATTAGTCCTCTTTGTAGGACTTACCAAAAGATCTTGTCTTCACGCATAAGCGTGGTGCATTCCTGCTGCTGCCGGGATCCCGGGCTTTGAGAAATGAGCGGGGACTCCCTGGTTATCCCGCGCCTCACTCTGGCACTGCAGACCCCCTGCTTAAAAAGCCTCCCTCCTTCCAGAGCCGTCAGCCTGTCTCCGGGCGGAGCCGCAGCTGGGGACTCCTGCTGATCAGGCGACCTGGGCACACCTGCTGGAGCAGGCCCAGGTGAGCTTCACTCCTGTCACCTGCGGAGGCTGAGTGAGCCCAGGGCAGGGGGCCAGGCCCGATTGTGGCGCGGCTTTTTCGGTGAATGTGTAACGTGTGACTGGTAATGATGCTACTGGCAGAGCTAGGGAGAGAACATCAACGCATGCCAGTGAGGGAAGCAGGGAGGCCTCGGTGCCTGGCGGGGCGTGAGGCCGGGTATCGATCCTGGCATTTGCTGATATCACACCCTAAATGGGCTATGATGTGAATTTCGGCCTCCCCTCGCCACCCCGGCTTCCACCCACCCCACTCCCTGTGGCCACAAGGCCCTGGGAAAATCCCGAGGTCGAGAATCAGACCTGAAGTACTTGGGGACTGGAGCTGGGGATTCAGGAAGCTCACGCTGCCTAACCACGGCCTCAGGGCCTGGGGGTGGAGCAGGGTGGGGTCTGTGGCATCAGGAAGCCGGACGGTTAGGGCCGTGCTGAGTCACGTTCTGTGTAAGTGGTGACTGGGACTCTCAGCATCAACGGCCAAGTAGGGTCACATGGAGGAATACGGGATTTGGGGTTCTGCATATACAGTAAAAATTAGAAGGATTTTTGCTTTCTTTACTCTTTGTCAGAGAGGATTTCAAGCTGTAAAAGTCTTCCTCATGCCTGCATAATCATCCCCGTTTTGTTTACTGTTAAATCGCTACCCACCATACCATCAATCCTTATGTGGACGAACGACATGTGTTCAGGTTCCCAGGCGAGGGTTCGTGCCATACCCACTTTTTGCCATCAACATCTGATTCTCAACCAGCCAGCAGCACTTCGGGAGAATGAGAGGCTGCATGGCGACCTGGGGAGGGGCTGCCCAGGCGGGGCACACAGACAGCTGGGGAGGGCAGCGGGGAGAACGGCTCCTTGGAACTGTCCCGTCCAGATGTACTTGGACTCCTGACGGCTGGCCCGCCTGAGACTCCACCCCGCCATCAGCAATGCCCCAGCCCCTCTCAGCTTTCCTCCCTCCCCAGGCGGGCTGACCAGGTGGATGGAGACGGGAAAGAAGTGTTGCTCTCCCCGGTGGGCAGGTGGGGACTGGTGATGCCCACCCTCTCCACTTCTCCTGCAGGAGCGGCAGATGATGACCTTCCCTCACCTTCTTAACATCAACGAGGACCCACAGCTCACCGGGGTCCTCAAGTACTTCATTCAAGCTGGTACTCCGCCGGCCCCCTGCCCCTGCCCTGCCCTGCCTTCTCCCCTCCCCACCCTCCCCCACCCTCCCCTGCACCAACCCTGCCCTGCCCCTGCCCTCCCTCTGCCCCTGCCCTCCCCCTGCCTCCACCCTACCTATTCCCCACCCTGCCCTCCCCTTGCCCTCCCCCTGCCCTTCCCCTGCCCCCACCTCGCCTTCCCCATGCCCTCCCCCTGCCCTCCCCCTGCCCCGCCCCCCGTCCCCTCCCTGCTCATGCTTCTTGCCCCACGGGCATGTTTCTTTTCTTTCTTGTTTTTTAAATATTTTTCATTTTGGTAAAATATACATAAAGTTCACAGTTTTAACCATTTTAAGACTACAGTTCAGTGGCATTAAGTACATTCATATTGTGTGACCGTCACCACCATCCACCTGCGTACATTTTCATCTTCCCAGACGGAAACTCCGTACCCAGGAAACGCGAGCTGCCCCTCCCCCTCCAGCCCCGGGAGCCGCTGTCCCACCTTCTCTCTGTGCGTTTGAGGATGGGGACCTCAGATAACCCCTCCCCCTCCAGCCCCGGGAGCCACTGTCCCACCTTCTGTCTCTGTGCGTTTGAGGATGGGGGCCTCAGATAACCCCTCCCTCTCCAGCCCCGGGAGTGTGTCCCACCTTCTGTCTCTGTGGATTTGAAGATGGGGGGACCTCAGATAAGGACGTTTTCATCTTTCTCCGACTGCCTTATGCCCTTAGGAGAATGTCCTCAAGGTGCATCCATGTAGCATGTGTTGAGAATTTCCTTCCTCTTGTTGAAGGCTGAAAAACATTCTCTTCCATGTATACAGCACGTTTTATCTATCTATTATCCTGGCATGGTTCTTGTTACATTTTTGTTTAGCAGTTTCTAAGGAGGGCATCAGCCCTTAAGCTGTCTTCCTGACCTAAATGAACAGGTTGGAACACAGCGCCCAGAACCTCAAGAGCCCCTGGCTTCCCCTCCCCGGCTGTGCACCCCAGGACGGCCGCGAGGGCTCCGTGCTCCCCCAGGACGGCCGCGAGGGCTCCGTGCTCCCCAGGATGGCCGCGAGGGCTCCGTGCTCCCCAGGATGGCCGCGAGGGCTCCGTGCTCCCCCAGGACGGCCGCGAGGGCTCCGTGCTCCCCAGGATGGCCGCGAGGGCTCTGTGCACCCCCAGGACGGCCGCGAGGGCTCCGTGAACCCCCAGGACGGCCGCGAGGGCTCCGTGCACCCCCAGGACGGCCGCGAGGGCTCCGTGCACCCCCAGGACGGCCGCGAGGGCTCTGTGCACCCCCAGGACGGCCGCGAGGGCTCTGTGCACCCCCAGGACGGCCGTGAGGGCTCCGTGCAAGATGGCCATGGGGGATGTGGGGATGTGGAGGGTGACGTGTCTGCATTCCTTGGGGTCAGTCACTACACAGAAATGGAGCTTCAAACACCAGAACCTCTCCTGTGGCCAGTATTCAGTGGGTCTCCTAAGGCTCAGACCTAACGGTTTCTTCTTCCAGAATGCTCATGAAGAAGGTGGAATTTTTAAACAGTTAGGAACTCTCCCCCACACACACACATTCCCCCACACACACATTTCCGCCTCCCCCACATTCCATACACACACACACACACACACACACAAGGCAGAAAGAGAAGTATGTCCAAGTACCATGATGATTGAAAATTGCAGAAATCCCTTCAGTGCCATCCCACTGTGGAGAAAATGTCACAGCCAACACATCAGACATGTTAACCTCTTAGGGTCAAATTCTGAAAGTGTCTGATTTATTTTAAAAATAAATTATATCTTGATTCTTTTCAGGTTCATGTGACGCCGGTCGGGCTGCCTCAAATGCCATCACAATTCAAGGTTTGGGGTGAGTTTCCATGCATCAGTGTCCTCGTCCAGCATGAGAGAACTGTGACCCCTCCATCTAGACAGCTGCAAAGCCACACAGTCTGCAGGACCAGCAGGGCCACTTCCCAGGTCTCCCCGGGCCACCCACTCCAGGGCTGGTCTGAGAAAGCTGAGGGCTGGGCTTTCGTCCGCTGGCTGAAATCCAGGGTGCTGGTTTGCTTCCCGGGCTCCAACCCTGGGAGAAAAGCGAAAGCTGGTTTCTAGGTTCTGTGTAATAATTCTTCACAAACAGATGTAAGTAGAGCTGACCAGGGAACGAAGGGAGCTGAACGAACACGCCCACTAGGGGTGGCCCAAACATAAGCGCATCCTTGTATCTCTCCTGGTGCTTGGAGCCCTCACCCACTGGACTACAGAAAGCCCAGACTGCGGAGTGACCCCAAGGGCTCCCTTACAAGGCCCCTGCAGGAGCCCTGGGAACCCCATGACGGGCCTCCCGCAGTCAAGTGCTGTCCCCAGCTCTGTGGCTGCCCTGCCTGGGAGGCCGCTCGCTGCTGGAGGGTCCTCCTCCTGCTTCCAGCTCCCCTCCCCGTCGGGAAACCTGTGGGCCTTCGTGGCGGGAGGGGTGCTGACCCAGGGCCGGCGGGCCTCACCTCGTCCTGCACTGCCAGCCTCCTTCTTGGGACACCTTGCTGGGGATCCCCTCAAGTCCCTTTCCAGAACACGTCCTTAGTCCAACACACAGGTGCGTGAACGTCTGAACTCCAGCGAGGAGGCTGACACCTTTCCCACAGGATCCCTGGGCCCCACACAAAAAACGGTTTGGATGAGCATGGTCTCCACATCCAGAACATTCCATGATGGCCAAGAAGTGCAGGAACATGGAACATGCTAAGGCAGGGAGCCAGTCATTCAGGACATACAGATGACATCCAGTGCCGGGGAGTGGGGTGGGGAGGGGGGACGCCAACCTGACACCCCTGACGTCCAGCCCCAAATCTGATAACATGAGGTCTGAGTGTATATGGCGAGGACGCAGAAACAGCCCCAAATCTGATAACACAGGGTCTGAGTGTGTACGGCGAGGACGCAGAAACAGATCGAAATGTACCTGGAGCAGGTGAGGCTCGTTAAGAGTCGCCTCCTGAGCTGAGCGTCTCTTCTGAAGCTTGCTTGCTGCCATTTTCCCACCACCCCATCCCGCTGGCCTGGGAGGGTGAGGACTCCAGTGTGGCCTTGGCCGGCTCCCCGCAGCGCTGGGCCTGCAGCTGGTGTTCGTTCTGTTAACGAAGCCCTTGCCTGCTGTCTCCCAGCTCCCCATGCTCCCCAAGCGCAGGGTCCGTCTGCACCCACTGCTTTCCCCATGCACCGTGAGCCACAGCACACAGGAGGCCCGGAGATGCCACCTGCCGTCCTCCACAGCTGTAGATCTTCCCTCCTGTGCAGATGAGAAAGATCAGCCTACCTGCTCACGAAAGCTGCCACTGGCTGGGCGTCTTAGACTGACTCTTGTCTTCTTAGAATTTCAGATAAACACGCTTCCTTCACAAATGCCGACGGTAAAGTGACGGTCACTCCACACAGCAAATGCAAGGTTGCCGTTAACGGGGTGCCCATCACCATCAGGACAAAGCTGCAGCATTTGGTAAACTTTCCTGCAGGCCCACAGAATGTCCCAGGTCCCCCCCAAGAGCTGGGAGGGGACAATCATGTGAGGTGCCCACATCACAGACGTGGCAGGATGGGGTGTTCACACCGGCTCCTCTGCCACCATGGTCCGGGGACGACATGGCACCGCTGCTGGAGGGACAGGCCTGCTCCTGACTTGCTGTGTGGTCTTGGGCAAGTCACTTCACTCCTCTGACCTCACCTGGAAAACAAGGAGGGCTGAACTAGGTGTTCTCCAAGGTCCCTTCCAGCTCTAACGTTTTGTGCCATTTTAGATTTTTCTAAGAGCCTGTCACTGAGAGGGGTTGAACAGCATCTTGCAAACGTCGCTGCCTCTTCCTCTCCAATCTGCCAATTCTGGGGCCGCTGCCAGCTTCCCAGCAGCCCTGGCCCCTCCCTGGTGGCCAGAGCCTTTCAGACAGGACAGGCACGTGGGGACTGGCCAATCCCCTTTTGGAAAGCCCCTCAGTCACCTCCCTCGGCCTCCTGTCCCTGGCCACACCGCCCTTCATTTGGTTGTTCAGCAGCTGTCTCTGCCTCAGCAAGACTCACCAGCCGGGAGGGCTTAGCTTAAGCATCCCCCTCGGAAGAGGCCTTCTCTAGCCTACAGTCTGCGTTAGTCCCTGGTGTCCCCGCAGCCACGGCTGCACTCGCCCAGACCAGCCTGGAAATGCGTGGAGGGAGGGCCTGGCTCTGGGTGGTCCCCACAGACCCCCAGGGCCAAGGGAGTCACGTCCTCAATGTGTGCGATGAAGGTGAATGCCGGAGCCAGAGGCCACCTGCCCTCCTGTCTGGGTCTCTCCCTGTCTGTGGGATTCCTGAGGGAAGGACAGTCCTCAGATCCTTCTCACTGGGGAGGTTCACCTCACCCTCCTAGGTCTCCAACCCCTCCTAAGCCCACCGTCTCCTCCCCAGGACCGCCTGATTTTGGGATCCAACAGCACCTACCTGTACGTGGGATTTCCTTTGGAGCCGGGCAGTGAGGACCTGAGCAGGTTCGATTACGACTTCTTCCAGCTGGAGAGGGCAGCCGCAGAGGGAGTCAGCGCAGACAAACTCGGTGAGCCCCCTCCTGACTGCTGGCCTCTCCCGTGTGCTGATCTGAGAGCAGCGATCTCACACTCTGTCTCTCTGCTTTCCTTAAGAAAATCATCATTTGTTTTGTCAAAGTCTAATCTTTACAAAATTGAATGATTTCCATATAGAGTGAGTACACGTTAAACATTCAACTCGTTAAATGACGAATGAGGGTAAAGATGGTTCAAAGGGGTAGAGAAGAGAGTGGGGTACACAGCAAATGAGGAAGAATGCTGAGCTAGAGAAGCCGGTGAGTGGCCTCCGGCTGCCCCCAGGGGCCTGCTGGGCCTGCAAACAGTGGCCCAGCTCAGGAGGGGCCAGCTGGGGCCTGCTCTGGGCTGGAAGTGCATGGCCTAGAAGAACGCACAACCGAGGCCTCTGAGACGGAATCTCCCCTTCTCCTCTGAACGCCGCCCTCAGCAATACCCGAGGCTGGCCGCCCGCCGCTGCCTGTCTCCGCTGGGGCTTTCACAGGCCTTCCTGCTCCTCTTCCCGCCCCGATTCACCGTGCTCCGGTTGGTTCCCCCAGAATCCAGGTGAGGCTAGAGCCCGCTGAGATCTCAGTGGTGTGCGGGCTTCCTGGAGGGGCCCCAGGCTTTGCTCAGCGGCGGGACTGTGCCTGAACTCGCAGTAATGACACCGCTGGTGGAAAGTGGGCAGACCCACCTGTGTGTATGCACGAGTTCCTCCCTGTTCCCTACACCACAGTGTTTCTCTCAGAATTTCGGCAAAATACATCGATTTGAAATTCACCTCCTTGCTCTTCTGCTGCCGAAATTCTCAACTTTTAAAAATGAACCAGGCCGGACAACGTGGCTCACGCCTGTAATCCCAGCCCTTTGGGAGGCCGAGGCAGTAGGATCACGAGGTCAGGAGTCCAAGACCATTGCAAACGTCGCTGCCTCTTCCTCTCCAATCTGCCAACTCCGGGGCCCCTGCCAGCTTCCCAGCAGCCCTGTCCCCTCCCTGGTGGCCAGAGCCTTTCAGACAGGACAGGCACATGGGGACTGGCCACTCCCCTTTTGGAAAGCCCCTCAGTCACCTCCCTCGGCCTCCTAACATGGTGAAATCCCGTCTCTACTAAAAATACAAAAAAATTAGCCGGGCGAGGTGGCGGCGCCTGTAGTCCCAGCTAGTCAAGAGGTTGAGGCAGGAGAATGGTGGGAACCCGGGAGGCGGAGCTTGCAGTGAGCCAAGATCGCGCCACTGCACTACAGCCTGGGCGACAGAGCGAGACTCTGTCTCAAAAAAATTAAAAAAACAAAAACAAAACAATGAACCAGCAAGACTCTGTCATACCAGGCCTGGAAAAGCCATCTGTTCATTGACTTGCTCTCCGAGGTTGACTGTGCCGCTGCCCTCGTGGCCCTGGTGGCGCCATGAAGCTGAACCAGCTCCAGACCCTGGCTCGGACCCTAGTGAAGACTTGGGTCCCCAACAAGGCAGCAGCTGTGTGAGCCGTTTGGAGTCAGACCTCAGGGCCAAGGGCACTGTGTGCACACACAGGCCAGGGGTCTGTAAAGAGTTGAGATTTGCTGATTAGAGGCAGTACCAGCCTGGGTTTGGGAGGGAGATTGATCCTTCCATAATTTCCACGAGCCCCTCCTTCAAGCCATCCCAAGTATAAGAAAAGCACAGGTCGCTTGCTGTGCCAGCAGCAGCTCGAGGTCACCTCCAGGCCTTGTGTCTAGCCAGCCATGTCTCACCTCGCCCCACCCTCCTCCAGTCTGGAGCCACCTTGGCTGAAGGACCCTGAGACCAAGAATGGGAACTGGGGGCAGAGGGTCTCCTGCCTGCAGCCAGGATTCATGGGTTGAGATAAGCAGCTACATAAGGAGAAGTCAGGCAGTGTCGTTTTCCCCTCAGTTTTTTTTTAATTACATGCTTGTAATTTTAAAATGTAGATATTTGATGAACAGCTGAACGAATGAACAAATAAGCATACAAATTTATTCATGGTGACTGGGCATGGTGTCTCATGCCTATAATTCTAGCACTTTGGGAGGCCAAGGCAGGAGGATCGCTTGAACCCAGGAGTTGAAGACCAGCCTGGGAAACAAAGTGAGACCTCATCTCTACAAAATATTTAAAAAATTAGCCAGGCATGGTGGCTTGCACCTGTAGGCCCAGCTACTCAGGAGGCTGAGATGGGAGGATTGCTTGAGTTCAGGAGGTGGAGGCTGCAATGAGCAGAGATCATGCCACTGAAGGCTAGCCTGGATGACAGAGCTAAAGCTGGATGACAGAAAGCTTAAAAAAAAAAAAGAAAAAGAAAAAAAAAGAAAAAAAAAAAGGGCCTGATATGGTGGCTTATGGCTGTACACCTCTAATTCCAGCACTTTGGGAGGCTGAGGCAGGCAGATCACCTGAGATCAGGAGTTCTAGACCAGCCTGGCCAACATGGTGAAACCCCATCTCTACTAAAAATACAAAGGGATTAGCCAGGTGTGGTGGCGCACACCTGTAATCCTAGCTTCTCGGGAGGCTGAGGCAGGAGAATCTCTTCAACTCGGGAGGCGGAGGTTGCAGTGAGCCGAGATGGCGCCACTGTACTCCAGCCTGGGCAACAAGAATGAAACTCTGTCTCAAAAAAAAAAAAAAAAAAAATTATTCATGGTGGAACAAGTGACTGACTTTCACCTCCCCTGTGATTGTTGCCAGGTGCTGTGGACGGTGGAGACGGCAAGGCCGACCCCAGTGTCCTGGCTGCGTTCCAGGACTACATCAAACTGATGCCGCTGGTTGCAGAAGCAAATCAAATGAGTGAAGAGCTGAAGAAGGTAATTTAGCTAGAGCCAGGAGCTGGTATGCCAGGTGCCCCTTGTGGGGCAGCGGTGCCTTCTCAAGGACTCTCAGGGAACTAGCGACAGAAGCGAGACTGCCCAGCCCAGTCCCGAGCACCATTCCTTTCACCAACAGCCTACCAGGGCCATCAGGATCCCAGACCAACTCTTACTGGCCATGAGCAGGCCCTCCCAGATGGTCCTGGGGCCTCTCCGGGTCTAGGCACCCGGATGGCTGCTGTGCCACAGAGACCACCTGGGCCGGGGACAGCTCCCTGGAGACATGAGCTCCCATCGGCCGGAACCTTGTAAGAGATTTAATCCATTTGGTAGGGACTCCAAGTGTTAGTTCCAGGATATATCGGAGAAAAACTGGTGCTCTGTCCTTCCTCTTAGTGGGAAATCCAAGGGGCAAGAGTGGGACACCTTCTTAGAGAAAGTCTTATCCATTCGTTGCTTAGGAAGCTGGAGGGTGGAGGATGAAAAAGCAATTGCAAAAGTGGTATGAGCTGTGAATGTAGGATTTTTTTTTTGACAGGGTCTCACTCTGCTGTCCAGGCTGGAGTGCAGTGGTGCAATGTCCATGTACAATCATGGCTCACTGCAACCTCCACTTCCCAGGTTCAAGTGATCCTCCCACCTCAGCCTCCCAAGTAGCTGGGACTACAGGCGTGCACTTCCATGCCCGGCTAATTTTTGTATTTTTAGTAGAGATGGGGTTTCGCTATGTTGCCCAGGCTGTTCTTGAACTCCTGGGCTCAGGCAATCCACTCGCCTCAGCCTCCCAAAGTGCTGGGATTACAGGTGTGAGACACTGTGCCCGGTGAATGTACAATTATTGAGTGAGAAGTGTTTCTTTTACCAGGGACTTAACATGGAATTGAAGGTGAAGAATTTGGCATCATCAGATTCCAAGGGCTATGACCTACAGAAGGAGGTCTTGGTGAAGGTGACCCACCACGGGACTCACGAGGTGAGGCCCCACAGGGACGGGACTCAGGAGGGGAGGATCTGCGGGGACGGGACTCGGCGGGGGAGGATCCGCGGGGACACAGGTTACCTTTACCAGCTGCAGCCTCCAGAGACCCAGTCAAGGGCAAAACATATTCCAAGTGTGAGCTGGACTCTGGGGAACAGGGGGATCCATTCTCCCGTTCCCTGTCCTGGGTCCTCCCTCACAGCACCAGCCATTCCCTGTCCTGGACCCTCCCTGGCAGCACCAGCTCCTGGGAGCCTCCTAACCTAGCCTGCACTGAGCATCTGTTCATGCTGAATATGACTCAAAGGCTTTTGTACCAGAAGGGGGCCTGGGAATTTACGCAAGTGGTAGTGGTGTCTGTGCATGTACATGTGTGTGTGTACATGTGCACGCGGGAGCACAGACTGCCTTTCTGCAGCAATGAGAAAAGCCACCCTCCTAGGTGCTCCAGAAAAGGCCGTTTCACCAGCTCCACTGGCTGATCCACTGGACCTTACTGTCAGGAAGGTCAATTTTAGAAACTGAAGACCCTGCTTCCTCTCCCTCCGCCTCAAAGGAGGAAACAGAAAATGCAGGCCCGTCTTGCAGTGCCCCTTGGGCACATCAGGCCCCTGGAGCAGCCCTCAGGCTTCCGGCTCCAGCACACTCAGCTGTAGCCTTGCCAGGCTGCGCCTCCCGCCCCCACCCCGGGCTCCTCCCTCCCTGCTCAGCAACTGGAGCTTCACTTTTCTGCTCGTCTGCTCATTGCCCGAAAATTGCCAAAATGTTCTGGGCCAAGACTGATTTTTGTAAAGCTTTTAAAAATTGTGAAATGAAATATGTGTGCGCGTGCCATGTGGTCAGCACCTGTGCACCCACCACCTTGTCCATGGGGGTTTCGCCCTCCAAATGCTGGGGCTGCCAAGATCCCGCCCCAGGGAGGAAACGGAGCAAGGATCCTCCTGGAGCCCAGCTCCTCAGAGACCGGCCGCTTTCCTGCAGGTCTGTGTGATGTGGAGAGGGAGTCAGGCTGGACTTCTCTGCCATGTTCTGTGAGGCCCTGGGAGGGGATCCCTCAGTGTGTTTGTACTTTGCATTTTTCTTTTTTTCCAGCAAAGGCCACTGGGGCAAAGTGGCTCTGGTGCCCCGATATTGTATGTGCTTCTTTCAGGCCAGGCTTTCCCCTAGAATTTGGCTTGGCAGTTTCCTGTCTCGTCAGACCTTGCTTTAAGAAAATTTGTAATTATAAAAAATCCTTTTCTATGCTATTCTATTTTGTATTATAGTCTAAGTTTGAAAACTAGCCTTTTAAACTATTGCTAGCAGAAGGGTTACTGAGTGCACATGAAGGTACTCGTGAGCTCCTGCCTGTCATTACCAGAAACAGGACAGGAGACGGAGTTTTCACACTTATCATTGGGAGAATTGTATGGGAGGGCTGAGGGCCTGGATTCATGGTGACATGTCATTTTCCTTCAGCCCAGCATCCTGTCACTGGGACTTGAGCAGCCGTTGACAGGACTGTCACTGGCAACCACGGTAGGACTGCCGCCGCAGGACAGGCAACCGTTTGCCACAGGGACAGAGCAGCCGCGGGATTTGCCTGGACAGGCAACCGTTTGACACTGTCACTGGAGAGCAGGCAACCGTTTGATAGGACTGTCACTGGGACAGGCAACCGTTTGACAGGACTGTCACGCTGAGCAGCCGTTTGACAGGACTGTCCGCACAGGCGTTTGGTTTCTGGGACAGGCAACCTGATAGGACATCACTGGGACAGGCAGCCGTTTGACAGGACTGTCACTGGGACAGGCAGCCGTTTGATAGGACTGTCACTGGGACAGGCAGCCGTTTGATAGGACTGTCACTGGGACAGGCAGCCGTTTGATAGGACTGTCACTGGGACAGGCAGCTGTTTGATAGGACTGTCACTGGGACAGGTAGCTGTTTGATATGACTGCTTCTGCTTAAACACACCAGGTTCTCTGTTAAGGGGGTTGTACGGTTTTTTTTTTTTTCCATTTTTCTCATGAAGATATGAATCTGACCAATCTGTCATCCTCAAGACTGTTCATTTTTACATTAAAACAAGTAAGATCAGGCCCGGCACGGTGATTCCCATCTGTAATTCCAGGATTTGGGGAGGCCAAGGTGGGTGGACGGCTTGAGCTCAGGAGTTCGAGACCAGCTTGGGCAACATGGTGAAACCCCGTCTCTACAAAAAATACAAAATTAGCTGAGTATGGTGGTGAGCACCTGTAGTCCCCGCTACTGGGGAGGCTGAGGTAGGAGAATCACCTGAGCCTGAGGAGGTCGAGGCTACAGTGAGCTGTGATCACGCCACTACACTCCAGCCTGGGTGACAGAGTGAGACCCTGTCTCAAAAAAACAAGCTTAGTGCCAGTGACCTGTCCTCAGATGAAGCCCTGCTTTCCTCAGGAGGCTTCTAGAAGGCTGTCGGAGGTCTGAGGGTCTCTTGTGACATGGTGTGTAGCTGGAAGCTTCTTGAAGGCTGTGGTCTGGGGGTCTCGTGACATGGTGTGTAGATGGAGGCTTCTGGAAGGCTGTGGTCCGGGGGTCTCTTGTGACATGGTGTGCTGATGGAGGTTTCCGGAAGGCTGTGGTCTGGGGGTCTCTTGTGACGTGTAGATGGAGGCTTCTGAAAGGCTGTGGTCTGGGGGTCTCTTGTGACACAGTGTGTAGGTGGCGGCTTCTGGAAGGCTGTGGTCTGGGGGTCTCTTGTGACATGGGAGGCTGAGGTAGGAGAATCACCTGAGCCTGAGGAGGTCGAGGCTACAGTGAGCTGTGATCACGCCACTACACTCCAGCCTGGGTGACAGAGTGAGACCCTGTCTCAAAAAAACAAGCTTAGTGCCAGTGACCTGTCCTCAGATGAAGCCCTGCTTTCTCAGAGGCTTCTAGAAGGCTGTCGGAGGTCTGAGGGTCTCTTGTGACATGGTGTGTAGCTGGAAGCTTCTTGAAGGCTGCTGTGGGTCTGGGGGTCTTGACATGGTGTGTAGACGGAGGCTTCTGGTGGGCTGTGGGTCCTGGGGCTCTTGTGACATGGTGTGCTGATGGAGGTCGTGGAAGGCTGTGGTCTGGGGGTCTCTTGTGACGTGTAGATGGGAGGCTTGAAAGGCTGTGGTCTGGGGTCTCTTGTGACACAGTGTAGGTATGGTTTCTGGAAGGCTGTGGTCTGGGGGTCTCTAGACACAGTGTGTAGATGGAGGCTTCTGGAAGGCTGTGGTCTGGGGGTCTCTTGTGACATGGTGTGTTGATGGAGGTTTCCGGAAGGCTGTGGTCTGGGGGTCTCTTGTGACACAGTGTGTAGATGGAGGCTTCTGGAAGGCTGTGGTCTGGGGGTCTCTTGTGACATGGTGTGTAGATGGAGGCTTCTGGAAGCCTGTAGTCTGGGGGTCTCTTGCGACATGGTATGTAGATGTGGGCAGTGCATGTGAGACAGGCACTTCTGAAGACCAGCAGAGACAGCTGTGGGTCCCAGCTAGACACACGAATGGTACTTTGCTGGCTGATCGTGTACGTGTTCACCTGTCCTCCCCGCTGACCGTGTGGATGGTGACTGCTGCTGCAGCTCTCAGGGAGGACGCAGTGTTGTGCAACTGTTGGAGTCACACATCACAGACAAGCCCAGGAGCACACCAGGAGCACACCAGGAGCACACCAGGGGCACACCAGGAGCACACCAGTGCTGTGTGAGGGTTGGGGAGGGTTTTCTCACTGGCATATGCTGCTAGCTTGTGGTTACTTTTCAGCAGTATTCACCCAACAGCTGTTGGCTCTGGTGAGCAGCACATCCCGCCAGAGAACTCTGAGTCAGGCCTGCAGAGCCCACCCGGGAGCGGGCGGGAGTCAGCATGGCCTCGCAGCCTGTCCCGGGCCTCGCCGGCCTGCTTCCTCCTCGGGCCGAGGATGACATGCAATTTTAACTGACACCAGGCCTGTGGTCTGATATCCACAGGTAATGAGGCAGTGAATTCATTTATTGTCTAGATTCCCATGATCTTAGTTCCCTAAAGTCTTTAAGAAAAAGCAGAATAAGGCGGTGCAGTGGGGCACGCCTGCAGTCCAGCTACTCAGAGGCTGAAGCAGGAGGCCCGCCTGAGCCCAGGAGCTCGAGGCTGCAGTGAGTTAAGCTTGGGCCACCGCACTCCAGCCTGGGTGACAGAGTGAGATCACGTCTTAAAAAGAAAAGAAAAACACACAAACAGAAAAACCACAATGACTAGAACTCCCGTTGTTCCCTGCTGCCCCACATTCTTTTCTTTTCTTTTCTTTTTTTGAGATGGAGTCTGTCTCTATTGCCCAGGCTGGAGTGCAGTGGCGCGATCTCGGCTCACTGCAAGCTCTGCCTCCCAGGTTCATGCCATTTGCCTGCCTCCACCTCCCAAGTAGCTGAGACTGCAGGCGCCGCCACCACACCCGGCTAATTTTTTGTATTTTTAGTAGTGACGGGGTTTCACCATGTTAGCCAGGATGGTCTCGATCTCCTGACCTCGTGATCCGCCCGCCTCTCGTGATCCTAGACTGCCTCTAGGAGAGTACTATGGCTCTTCACTTTGAGGCCAACAGAAAAAGATGCAATCTGTTTTCAGAGTCCTGAGAGTGTCCTTTCTATGAAGAGACATCACACCTAGAATGACTTATCTGTTGATTTTTGCTTTTGCTTTTCAAGTTGCCCAGAAAGGAGCTCCTAGTTTTACCTGACATTTATGGTCTAAAAATTACCTACCTGGAATCCCTTATACTGTGGCTTCAGGTTTTGTCCCCTCTCCAGACCCAGTGTTGACAGAGGCTCTGTCCTCATCCAGTAAGGAGGAAGACAGTGGCAGGCTGTTGTCCTGGATCTGCTGCGCACTGGGTGTGAACCCCTGAGCAGGGAAGGACACCTGCTTGGGTCTCTGCAGAATGAAGCTCAGAATGCCTGCTGTGCTGGGCCGGGAGGGCTGTGGGAGTGTCTCCTGTGCGTGTGGATGTGTGCCCGTGTGCACACCAATCACGGCAGGGGAGCCAACCTCTCAGCTCTTCTCCAGACTAGTACCCCTGCATCATCTTCCATGGTTGCTGTTAATGAATGACCAGGCTCATTAAATGACACAAACTTACTACCTTATCGTTCTACATGAGAAGTCCAAATTGGGTCTCACTGGGCTAAAAGCAAGGTGTCGACAGGGCTATAGTGCTTTCCGGGCCTGAGGAAGAGAATCCGGTTCCCGGCCCTTTCCAGCTTTTAGAGGCCACCTCCCTCCATCTTCAAAGCCGCCACACGGCCTCTCTCTGACCCCGCAGGCACTGTCACCTCTCTCTCTCTGACCCGCTCTTATGCCTCTCTCGGCCACACTGAAGACCCTTGTGATTTCACTGGGGCCACCTGGATACTCCAGGCTAATCTCCATATTTGAAGGTCAGCTGATGACAAACCTTAATTTCCGTTTGCCATGTAAAGTAATATATTCACAGGTTCTGGGGATTAGGACTTGGGCATCTTTGAGGACCATTCTGCACATCACAAGCCCAAACCTTCGTTTCTCCTGAGAGGGTCTGTTTTCTGACCCCTTCGTCGTCTCCTCTAAGTCATTTCCTAGGCTCAAGTGATGCTGAAGCAACAGGTCCAGGAATGAACACGGTATTCTTGACGTCAGCAAAGCTAAGTTTGGAGAGAGTGGGATGTGGTCATGAGTACCTCAAACCCAGTCAATGGAGGGAGTGTGCTGGGAGAAATCAGAGTGATGAATTGTTAAGAGCAGCAGATGAAATCAAACACTGGTGACATACCTCTATGTTTCCAGGTATGGATATGGTCAAAAGCCAAGTTCATCAACAGGAAATTCCTAATGGAGGAACTTTACCAGCGCTTTCTAGATGGAGATAACAGCCCTGTGGCTCAAGAAGACGACCCTTTCTGGGATCCTGTCGAGGTCGTCCACTTGGGCTCAGCTCACGTCTGGCTCCAGTCACTGGCCTACTGCATGAAGCTGGAGGAGCAAGTGGAGTTTCTGAACTGTGACGGGCTGGAGGAGGCGGTGCTGCACATCTGCATAGCACCCTGCTCCCCGACAGGACAGTGAGTGTTTCCTTCCCCTGCCTACTTCTGGGTCAGTCGCACACAGAAAAGCCAGAGCAAGCCTGAGTTCTCCTGACGGGGTGGCCAACCTGGTACCCTGAACAGGTCATTCATAAGACAAACGAAAGAGCTCATTCATTCACCATCTGGCCTCAACAAATTTGATTTTTGCTCTCCCCTGGGGACCTAAGGAATGAGGAGGACATCTAGCAAAGAGGCAGGTGTAGTAGAAAGAGTCCTGGACAAAACCAAAAGAGCTAGGTGGGTTCCAAACAATGGACCCTCAGGAGAGAAGCCAAGTGGACTGCGGGGCCTCCCCAGCCACACTCCCTTCCTGGCCCTGTGGGCCTGGCATCTGCCGCAGGGGACGCTTTCCCATGCTGAAGTCCCAACCTGCTTCAGGAGCCAGAAGTAGAAGCTGATTTTCCAGCTCAGCCCTTTTCTTGAGGTAGGGACTGTGAAGCCCGACCTCATTCTGCGCTGTCACCTGACGTTTCTGTGGGCACAGGCTTTGTTCTGAGCTATCAGCTCTGTCCTACACATTGCCTCCTTACCCTTTACTGTCCTTTCTGGATACTCATCTGTTTTCCCTCTTTAGGCCACAGGCAGTTTTTAGAAAAGCTAAAGTCTTTGAGCAATCCTAAGCCAAGAGGCCAGTGGGGCGTGGTCTGGGTGCCAGGGCTCTCACAGGCACTCAGTGCAACCTTTCCACCTTTCTGAAGAAGAAATCAGCTCAAGAAGAGAACCTCAAGCTTCCATGACCAAGAAACCAAACTGCCCAACAACTCACTGCCTTTACCCCAAGCAGCGCTCTGATCACACGTTGTATTTCCTGTTGCAAATTAATGAATTTAATTGGAAAGGTTTCAGACTTTGTGAGCCTGGTTGATAGGACAGCAGTCCCTTGTTGGAAAGCTGTCCACGTCAGTGTCTGAGCTTGTAGGCCTGGGGTTCTCTCTTGATATAAAGAAACAGAGGAAAAGGAAAATGACCACCGGAGAGGCTGCATCTGGGCGGCCGCTGGCTTTCCCACTCTGTCCCACTGGGGATCTACTTAAGTCTTCAGTGTGAGTTTAGCATCCACATCTGTGTGCATCTATCGCATGAGACTGTCTTCCTTTTCCTCCAGGCAGGGAGATTCTTCAGAAGGCCTGGTCTTACTTTGACGTGCCAGGGTAACGGGCTCTTGTTTGGTGCCTCTTGAGTGCATGAATGAACTCTGCTGTTGGTGATATTACCTATCCTGTCTTCAGTGAAATTAGCTCTCTCTTAAGGATTCTGTTTAATCCCCTTAACATCACAATCTTAACTTGCTTGGACCCAGCCTAACCCGAGGTCAACGTTCACCTCTTCTGTTTGTAGAACGCATGGCGAGGAGGATGTGGTTATCGACCCTTTGGAGCTGCTAGGCAAGAGGATGGATTTTCAGATTCACATTGTCCGGTGTCTTGGTGTCAGCTGGATGAAGGAAGATGCAAAGCGGGGCATTCAGATAGGGTGCCAGCCTGCACCGCGGAACACAGCCACACACGCCATCTGCCATGCGGCCCCGGGGGAGGCAGCCCAGTCTTCCTTCAAGTTTTAAAAATGAGCTTATCACAAAGTTTTCTTAAGTTTCTGTTTAACTTGAAGATGACTATTTCCCTCACAGTTTCTCTGTTTAGCTTTAAGATGACTATTTCCCTCACAGTTTCTCTGTTTAGCTTTAAGATGACTATTTCCCTCACAGTTTCTCTGTTTAACTTTAAGATGACTATTTCCCTCATAGTTTCTCTGTTTAACTTTAAGATGACTATTTCCCATCTATTTAATAGAGGGGCTACACACCTCTTCAGGTCTCTGGCCTGTGGCCAGTGTGTACTGAACTTTTTACAGAACTGAAGCAGAAATTCTAATTCTCAGAAAGAATATCCAGTAAAACCATATTATCTAAGCAAAACAGTTTCTGGGTTTTAGTTGGAAACAAAAGGACCATATTATGATATGGCAGAAGCATCAGATATGCTTAAACAAACTAGGCTAAAAGGATATTGAAAGATAACGCAGGCCATGTGCGGTGGCTCATGCCTGTAATCCCAGCACTTTGGGAGGCCGAGGATGGCAGATCACTTGAGGTCAGGAGTTTGAGACCAGCCTGCCAACATGGTGAAACCCCTGCTCTACTAAAAATAGAAAAATTAGCCAGGCGCAGTGGCATATGCCTGTAATCCCAGCTACTTGGGAGGCTAAGGCAGGAGAATCACTTGAACCCCAGAGGGAGAGGTTGCAGTGAGCCGAGATCACTCCAGCCTGGGCGACAGAGTGAGACTCCGCGAAGACAGACAGACAGACAGACAGATAGAAAGAAAGAAAGAAAAGAAAGGAAAGAAAGGAAAGAAAAGAAAGAAAAGAAAAGAGAGAGAGAGAGAGAGAGAGAGAGAAAGAAAGAAAAGGCAATAAAGGGAGACTCTGAAGAACAAAAACTAAATCACTGCTTCACATGGAAAATCAACCATTTTTGATTATCTAAGTAGAAGGGATTTATTGAAATCTGTTTTGTTTGTTTTTTGTTTTTGAGACAGAGTCTCTCGCTCTGTCGCCCAGGCTGGAGTGCAGTGGAGTGCAGCAATCTCAGCTCACTGCAACCTCCGCCTCCTGCGCTCAGCCTCCTGAGTAGCTGGAACTACAGGCATGCACCACCATACCCACCTAATTTTTGTATTTTTTACAGAGATGGTGTTTTACCATGTTGCCCAGGCTGAATTCCTGGGCTCAAGCAATCTGCCTGTCTCAGCCTCCCAAAATGCTGAGATTACAGGCGTGAGCCATTGAGCCCAGTCTGGCCTTTTAACAATTTTATTATTATCTATATAGTGATGATATCCATGTTGAACAAGGTGCTGGAGGTTGATAAACATGAAAATCAATCACAGGTCATCTTTTATCTGACACATGGGCTGTAAATCTTTGGCTCATCTGTCCCTTTTCTTTACAAATGTGTCCCTTCTGGTTTTAAATTTTGTTTTATGTTTTTCTCAGGTACAGAATTTATGACCTTCCAAACACTATCTATACCAAACCTGTATGGAAAAGTGTGAATCCACAAATTGAAGAGACTGTCCAATTTGTAGCCTTAACTGCATCTCAAGAGTTTCTGAATTATCTGCAGACAAATGCCCTTATTGTTGACCTATGGGGCCTTCAAGGTACCTTGCTCACTTATTCTTTCATCAGATATACCATACATTGAGGGCTGCAGAAGAGGTAGAGAAGCGAGGTAGTCAGGGTCCTAACAGCGGTGGGCCAGAGCCATCTGTTCCCCTGGGCTCCCGGGTTCTCGTCCAGCAGGGTGGTTACTTTAACAATGACTCTGGAGCTGGGTGACTGGGATGTTTCTTTCTTTGACTGTGTCTCTCCCCACTACAGAAGGCTGCACCGAGCTGAGCTGCTCTCAGCTGGGCCTCATGGTCACAGATGAAGGCCACATCCTGGTAGACACCAAGAAAATTTCCACTGTGAAGGATCCAAGCCAGGTGTATACATATGACATTAAAATGGGCATCCCAGGTGGCTAGAAAATCTCTGACTGACAGCTGCTTGACGTTCCTTCCCCCTTAACAAACGTTTTATTTATTTACTCCTGTGTACCCTGAGGGGCTTAAACCCTACTCACCATACACACATTTGATTTTCCCATGGTTGCAAACATTGCCCGTCTCAAAGGATATGCAGATGATACAGCAAAAGATGAAACTGACATGTTTTCTTGTAGGCGGCCTCAAACCAGATACCAGAACTTCATCTGAAGCTGCTCAAGCTAGAGCAGGAGACAGAGCTGCTCAGGAACATCAACAGAGCCCTGAGAGAGGAGAACGTGCTTCTCCAAGAATCACTTGCGAAAACTGCTTCTGGGCAAGGTGAGAGACTGCTCCAGGCTTGGCTGTTTAGCTTATCCCTTGCCTCCTACATTTGTGATGTATATTTGCCTTTTAATAAACAAACTTTTAAATGAGTTAATTCACATCTTGTTTCATAAACAGAAAATGCAGGACATTTCTTTTCTTCTGCCCTGTGAGATTTCTCATTTCCCTTGGATGGATCCAAACTGGTGCCTGATAAATGCTGATGTAGTAGAATGCCACCAAAATAAATAAATATAGAGATGCCCGAAGAAAGAGATCCATACATCAACGCTGCCTTTTCTTGCCACCTCAGCCCAGAAGCCTTCCGACACTCTGAAGGTCAGCGGGATGACTGCACAACTGCTCTCCGCCAGGGACACAAGTCAAATGTGCACACAGCAAGCCGGCTCCGACCGAGAACTCGCCCAGGCTCTGAAGGTGTTCTACCAAAGCATGAACACAGCAAGAGGGCAGCTTTTCAGACTCAGACGGTATAAACCTCCTGTAAGTAACTGGCATCCCGGGAGCACACAGAAGTTCTTTCCATCCAATTTAGACACTTGATGTAACTGTACTTCCTGAGCTTGGAGATGTGTGTGCTGACACGGAAGGGCAAGGCCAGGAGGCCTTGCTTGACCTGCTCCGTGAGCGTGAATCCACCGCCCTCTCAGGCCGCCAGCCGTCTCTGCTCTGACCTTTTTATTTTAGTGCCACATCCGGCTGGTTCCATGCAGCCATGTCACTGCATGATTGACATCCATTCACTTTACAATACAATATGCAGACTACCCTGTTCGGTTTATCATTATAAAACCAAATGTAATTCATCATACTAAGAGACTACAAGATAAAATAACTTGATGACTTCAACGGATGCAGAAAAAGCATGTGACCAAATTAAACATCTTATGACAATAAAAATTTTTGGCAAACTAGGAATAAAATGGACATTCCTTAATCTGATAAAGGCAATCTTAAGACAAACGCACAGTGGACAAAATGCTCAGTGACCAATGACTGAAAGTGTCTCCTTTCGGCTCAGGCCAGGGATGCCAGCTTTCTTGACATCTGTCCTTTAGGTTCTAGCCAGTGCAGTAAGGCGAGAAATACAAAGTATGATTGGAAAGGAGAAGAAAAGAAATTACAATAATAGCATACACTTATGTAACACTAAGTGCTTTGCATTTACTGACTCGATTCTCACAGCAACTCTATGAGGCAGGTACTATTATTCACCTTATTTTACAGTTCATGGAACATGTCTAAAGACGCGTCACTCGTCTGTGGCAGGGCTGAGGTCCAGACCCCAGTTCCCGAGTCTGTACTCTCCCACCACACTGCGCTGCCTCTAGTATTATCCCAGATGACATGCTTGTATAGACAGAACTCCCCAAGAATTTATAAATGAATTACAAAGTTGCTGGATACAAAAATCAAGATTTAAAAATTAACTGTATTTGAATATAACAGCAGCAAGCAGAAAATTACTTTTAAAATAAAAGACACCATTGATAACTGCATCAAATATATGGAATACTTAGGCCTATAGCTGACATTGAATATGTAGGAGTTGTATGGAGAAAATTTTAAAACTTATTTGAGAGATGTCTGAAAGGATATAAATAGAAAAATTGACATCTCTCTGTGGTTTGGAAGATTTGTTACTGTACATCTGTCAACTCTCCCGGAAGAGTCAGTGCAATTCCAATGAAATGTAATATAACCTAACAAGATAATTCTACAATTTGTATGGAACTGCAAAAGTAAAACCTAGCCAGGATGAGAGCAGACCCAAGAACAGGACAGAAACACTTGCCCTACCTGACATCAACACTTCATTTCAATGCCGCTGTAACAGAGGCAGTAAGGTCCGGTGTTGGCCCAAAGATAGATAAATCACCAAAGAAAAAGAACAGAAAGCTCAGAAACAGATTTATTCAGGACTACAGACTTGATATACAAGCAAGAGGAACTGCAAATCAATGTGGCAAGGATGGACTTTTCAATAAACAGTGCTAGGGGAATTAGGAATATGTATGGGGAAAAATGAAACTGGATTCCTATCTAAAACTACCCCAGAAATCAATTTCAGGTGAAAATTAAAGAGCTAAATGTGGACGACACAACCCGCATGCTTTTATTTATTTATTTATTTATTTATTTATTTATTTATTTAAGTATTTTAAAAATAGAGATGGGGTCTTGTTATGTTGCCCAGGCTGGTCTTGAACTCCTAGCTTCAAGCAATCCTCCAGCCTCAGCCTCCCAAAGTGCTGGAATTACAGGCATCAGCCACCATGCCCTGCCTCTAATACTTTCAGAAGATACTTTAAGAGGTTGTCTTTACGACCTCACAGTGGAAAAGGATTTCTTATGCATCACACACACACACACACACACACACACACACACACACACACACCCCTAGCTTTAAAGAGGGAGACTGGTAAGTTCAGCTAAATTAAAATGGTGAACTTTGTCCATCAAAAGACACCAAATGAAAGAGCCAGAAGGAATGGGAAAAGTTCTTTGTAACACATTTAACATATAATGAACTAATATCCAAAATAAAGAACTACTACTAACCAAAAAGAAAAATAGACAACCCAGCAGAAAAAAAAAAATGGTCAAAAGATTTGAACAGGAACATCACCAAAGAGGAGATTAAAAATGCCAATAAATACATGGAAAAGTGCTTCATCGCATTAATAGTTTGGAAAATACTAACTGATACCACCATAAGATACCATTATTAACCTTCCATACTGGCAAAAATTAAAAAGCCTGACAATATCAAGTTTTGGTGAAGACATGAAGTAACAGAAACTCTCATGGATGGCTGAGAGGAGTATAAATTGGTACAACCATTTAAAAATTATTTGGCATTTACTTATGAAAAGTTGAAGATACTAGAACCCAGAAGCCTGCAGTTCAACTCTTCCCTCCTTCACGGGGGAACCAGTTCTGCAGAGAATCAAGCCCTAATGCCTCAGGCAGAGTTCTCAAGGTGGGCCCTATGGCCTGGCAGCTTCGGCAGCATCTAGGAGCGTGTCAGAAATGCAAATTCCAGGGCCCCACCCCAGACCTACTGAACCAGAATCTCTGGGTGTGAGGCCTGGTAACATGTGTTTCAACAAACCCTCTCCATGATTCTGCCTTCAAGTTGGAGAACCTACTGCACTGAGGCATCTGGCGTATGAAATACGCTAACTCTGTCATACACGTCTAGGATGGCACTAGTTACACAGCTTTCTTGAAAGAACAGAGAAAATAGTTATTCAGATCACTTCTGTTCTGTGGTTGAGATGAGGGGCCAGTTGAAAGACACTGCAGCAATCTTAGTTCATGTGCACTGCTGTTCATAAAGCCCTCTTCCATAGTAGCCCCAAACCGGAAACATTCCTAATATACGTTCACAGAAGGCGGTAAATGTTGGCCCCTCCATGCTGTATAACACTACATTGCCATGAAAATAATGAACAACAGCCACAGGCAACAAGAACAGTGTCCCAACAGTGATGGAAACCAAGTTACGAAAGATGACATCCAATGCGATTCTATAAATATTCAAAGAGGGCAAAATAGACAGTTCAGGGATATACTCCAGGTGGCAAAACTACTGAGAAAGGCAAGAAAACGGGGACCACACAAGTCAGGCTGGCAGTTGCTTCTGGGACGGGGAGGAGGTGACAGGAGGCGTTCCAGGCAGTGGGCTCGCTAGAGCAGGTGTGTTCACTTCATGCCGATCAATACATTTAGGTTACTTTTTTGGTCTACATATCTCACAATAAAAAAGAATAACTGGTTAAATGAAAGACCCCATAAACAGAATTTCAAATAAACCACAGCCTGGAAAATATATTAGTATTATTTAGCAAGCATTAGTATTCAGAACAAACAATTACTTTTAAGATTAAAAAAAGATAATATGTTGGAAAGCACATTAGAAAAAAATCGGCAAAGGATATGAACAGGCATTTCGCTAATACTCAGGGAAAGAGAAACTGAATCCCGGTGCCACGTCATACTACCTGCTCTCTGCCGTTCTCATTTTCAGCCAGTGCGGTGCCATCTCCTCCACCATCTGTCTCCAGGACTCTGCCCCAGGGGATCCCCAGTTCTCAGGGGCACTTGCTTCCACCGGTCAGGGGAAGCACTGGGAAAACCCTACCAATGGGAGAGCTCCCACATCCACTGGCTCCTTAAGCCTCCTTTAGTACTCCTTCGACAGTGTAAAACACTATGTAAGTAACATTCCAACTGAAAATATCTGAATTACCTCACCAGTTTTCCCTACTGGCAGTAACTTAGGGTCACCCGAAACACAGCCGCTCTGAGGTGACGCTCTGCCTCGGCTAGCAGCTTTCAAATGCAGTATACTATCCCTGAGGGGAACTTACTGGGCACCCCACTCACATACACACAATATTCTTTACTCTGATGACATGAAGTCTATCACTATCATTTTTTTCACTTTTTTTTTTTAGGAAGATGATCAAATGCTTCGACCATTCGTAAACCAACGGTCACAGATGTTCAAGGATTTGGGGGATCTACTTGAATCCAGCTTGTGGAAGCTGAAAAGGGATGTTGCTCTTACAGTGAAAAAGAAGAGAGAATATTTACTGCATGTCAAACAGTGAAGACACACCCACTGAAAACTGAAGATACTCACGCTTCGAGTTGTGAAGATGATTTGTGTAGCTAACAAGCTTACCTCATTTCCCACTTACTTTACCTATTTCTTCTACCAGTTTTAAGCAAAACCTTCTTTCCATGTGATTGTAAATCATCTCTGTAACCTAAAGGCTGCTTGAATGGCCCTCCGTTCCTGATGCATAGAGGGGAACCACACACACTGGGGTCTATTTGAGGTTGGAGGGTGGGAGGAGGGAAGAGGGCGAATGATTAGCACTCGGAGCTCTGGGATCAGACTGCCGAGGTGAAATCCTGGTTGAGTCCATCACTTACTAACTGCAGGATATGGGGCCACTGACTTGCCCTCTCTAAGCCCCTCTTTCCTCATTTGTTTTATGGGAAGGATAACAGTATTTATTGCAAATGGTTAATGAACGTAAAGCACTTAGAACAGTGCCTGAAACACAGACGTGATTGATAAGCATTCACCATTAATATTTTTATGGTAAACAGTTCAAAACTTCAAATGAAGCTCTTTTATCTATATTGCTTGCTGTCAGACCTACAGACAATGGTTATTCCATGTCTCTCATTTTGTATCTTGCTCTGAGCAAGTCTGAATTCTACCTTTACTTATTATTCTCTTCTCATAAGTTTATCTGAAATACTGTTATGTTCGATTTTTTCAGCAGCAGGAGTGCCCATATGATGGGACCTTTTCAGTGTAGGGTCTGCGGTTCAAGGATTATAACTGTTAGTGAAAACTCTGTTAGGAGTTAGTCTATCTTGAAGCCAATCTTGATTCCACAAATTGACTGATGGGTGTTAGTCAAGGATACGATAAAAAGCTCAACACCACTGATCATTAGAGAAATGCAAACCCAAACCACAATGAGACACCCTCTCACACTAGTCAGAATGGCTATTACTAAAAAGTCAAAAAATAAAAGATGCTAGGTTGGACGTGGTGGCTCATGCCTGTAATCCCAGCACTTTGGGAGGCTGAGGCAGGCGGATCACCTGAGGTCGGGAGTTTGAGATCAGCCTGACCAATGTGGAGAAACTCTGACTCTACTAAAAATACAAAATGAGCCGGGCATGGTGGCACATGCTTGTAATCCCAGCTAATCGGGAGGCTAAGGCAGGAGAATCACTTGAACCCAGGAGGCAGAGGTTGTGGTGAGCCAAGATCGTGCCATTGCACTCCAGCCCAGGCAACAAGAGCAAATCTCCGTCTCAAAATACAAACAAAACTAGATGCTGGCGAGGTTGCAGCAAAAAAGGAATGCTTACACACTGTTGGTGAAAGTATAAATTAGTTCAACCGTTGTGGAAAACAGTGTGGTTATTCCTCAAAGACCTCAAAACAAGTACCTTCCGACCCAGCAATCCCATTACTGGGCATATACCCAAAGGAATGTAAGTTGTTCTATTATAAAGGCACACACGTGTGTATGTTCACTGCAGCACTATTCACAATAGCAAAGACATGGAATCAACCTAGAAGTCCATCAATAGTAGACTGGACACAGAAAATGTGGTTCATATACACCACGGAATGCCACATAGCCACAAAAAGAATGAGATCATGTCCTTTGCAGGAACATGGATGGTGCTGGAGGTCATTATCCTCAGCAAACTAACGCCAACTAATGCAAGAACAGAAAACCAAATACCACATGTTCTCACTTACAAGTGGGAGCTAAGTGACGGGAACACATGGACAGAGGGGACAACACACACTGGGACCTCCCAGAGGGTGGAGAGTGGGTGGAAGGAGAGGGTCAGGAAAACTAACAAATGGGTACTAGGCTTAATACCTGGGTGACAAAATAATCTGTATGACAAACCCCCACGCCACTTTACCTATATAACAAACCTGTACATGCACCCCTGAACTTTAAAAAAAAAAACCTTTTGGGGCCAAAGACAGACTACTTCTTCTTTTTTTTTTTTTTGAGATGGAGTCTTGCTCTGTTGCCCAGGCTGGAGTGCAGTGGTGTGATCTCAGCACACTGCAACTTCTACCTTCTGGGTTCAAGCAATTCTCCTGCCTCAGCCTCCCTGAGTAGCTGGGATTACCAGGCACCCGCCACCAGGCCCAGCTAATTTCTGTACTTTTAGTAGAGATGAGGTTTCACCATGTTGGTCAGGCTGGTCTCGAACTCCTGACATCAAGTGATACACCTGCCTCGGCCTCCCAAAGTGCTAGGATTACAGGCGTGAGCTACTGTGCCCAAACCGAAGACTTCTAATAACAACAGTAGTGATAATGTTGAAACTTAGTAAGTGCTTACACCATGTGTCAGGCACTAATCCAAGTGCTAACCATGTTAGCTCATTTAATTCTCACAATAATCCGATGAGGTTGAGTAACTTGCCTAGGCCATTGTAAACACAGATGCTGATGCCAGAGCCTGCATCCCTAACCATGATGACCTGCTGCCTGATGGCACAATAGCAAAGACATGGAATCAACTTGTAGTCCATCAATAGTAGACTGACAGAAAAAATGTGGTCATATACACCACGGAATGCCACATAGCCACAAAAAGAATGAGATCATGTCCTTTGCAGGAACATGGATGGTGCTGGAGGTCATTATCCTCAGCAAAATTAACGCTAACTAATGTAAGAACAGAAAAACCAAATACTCACATGTTCTCACTCTCCTTACAAGGGAGCTAAGTGACGGGAACACATGGACAGAGGGGACAACACACACTGGGACCCTCCCAGAGGGTGGGAGAGTGGGTGAAGGAGAGGGTCAGAAACTAACAAATGGGTACTAGGCTTAAATACCTGGGTGACAAATAATCTGTATGACAAACCCCACGCCACTTTACATAACAAACCTGTACATGCACCCCTGAACTTTAAAACCTTTGGGGCCAAAGATGACTACTTCTTCTTTTTTTTTTTTGAGATGGAGTCTTGCTCTGTTGCCCAGGCTGGAGTGCAGTGGTGTGATCTCAGCACACTGCAACTTCTACCTTCTGGGTTCAAGCAATTCTCCTGCCTCAGCCTCCTGAGTAGCTGGGATTACCAGGCACCCGCCACCAGGCCCAGCTAATTTCTGTACTTTTAGTAGAGATGAGGTTTCACCATGTTGGTCAGGCTGGTCTCGAACTCCTGACATCAAGTGATACACCTGCCTCGGCCTCCCAAAGTGCTAGGATTACAGGCGTGAGCTACTGTGCCCAAACCGAAGACTTCTAATAACAACAGTAGTGATAATGTTGAAACTTAGTAAGTGCTTACACCATGTGTCAGGCACTAATCCAAGTGCTAAACCATGCTAGCTCATTACTCCCTGGCCAATAATCCGATGAGGTTGGGAGGCGGTTTGTGGCCATTGTAAACACAGATGCTGATGCCAGAGCCTGCATCCCTAACCATGATGACCTGCTGCCTGATGGTGCAGGACCGTCCCTGGGATGCCAGAGCTTCATCCTCAACCATGATGACCTGCTGCCTGATGGTGCAGTGATCCGTCCCTGGGATGCCAGAGCCTGCATCCCTAACCATGATGACCTGCTGCCTGATGGTGCAGGACTGTCCCTGGGATGCCAGAGCCTGCATCCCTAACCATGATGACCTGCTGCCTGACGGTGCAGGACCATCCCTGGGAGTCCTGGCTGATATGCAGAAAAAATCAGGAAGGAGAAAATAAGGGGGTGACAACCTCACTCCCTGCTCCCTAAAATACGAAGTTAAGGAAGTCAAATGGGATGACGCTGAAGCTGCACTGGCAGAAGAGGCTGTCAAGGGCTCCAAAAAGGAACCTCTCTAGAAAGCCAAGGGAATCTGGGCTAGTGATTTCAGCTTAATAGCAGGGTCCAGAGATTCATACGGGAGGCATGGGTTTTGCTTGCAGCTCAGATCCTGACCACATACACAAGTGAACTGAAAAAACTGCTGTAACCCTGGAGCCCACGTGTGGAGCACCTTGTGGTGACAGCCAGGACAGGGTCAGCAAAGGCCTCACAGAACCCTGGTAAGACTCTGTCAGTGAGACACAGTAACAGTAGAGGCTGGGCAGACTCAGTTCAAAAGACAGAAGCCATTCCTACTCCCAGTGGCCAGGCCGAGGGAGGTCTTTTGAACTGAGCCTCAACGTTTTTGATAATTAGCAGTTTACTCACCTGAGGTGAGTCATATACTTTCAGCAAATGGGAGCAGGCAGAACCTTGGGGGATGAAAAGGAAAATCAGGACGAGACACACACGTACCTCAAGCCGGGGGATGCGGTCACACTGCTACCTTCAGAATCAGGGTCAATGCTCGAGCATACATTGCAAAAGCTAGAAACAGGGACAGGATAGCTTCACCTAGCGGTTCCCAAAAGCGTATCAAAAACACAGAGGCTCCGACCTCCTGACCTCCTGAATGCAAACTCCTGGAGGCACTGAGGAGCCTGGAGGCACTGAGGAACCTGGAGGCACTGAGGAGCCTGGAGGCACTGAGGAGCCTGGAGGAACTGAGGAACCTGGAGGAACTGAGGAGCCTGGAGGAACTGAGGAACCTGGAGGAACTGAGGAGCCTGGAGGCACTGAGGAACCTATTGCTGTTCTGTGACTCAGACGTGCAGCTCGTCGTCGCGGGCTCGATTGCTCCGGCACCGCTTTCTAATTTTAGAGCTGGTAAAACCTTTTCTAAGGTCCCACAAGTTAGGGCACAGCTGAAGATCTGTATCTTGTGACGACCAGGCCAGGACAGAGGAAGCAGAGGTAGGCTGGGCAGTACTACCACCAAGAATCCCCGTCTTCGAGTTAGATGCCCCCCTTCTTCTTACAGGCAGAGCAGAAGGGTCTCCCAAAACGAATCATAGTCCTAAATATTTCATGTTCCTCACTGTTTAGTAGAAATTCCATAAAGGAGTGGCTGTCTTGTTTAGGTAATGAACAACATGATTGTTATGTATATATGTGTTTATTATATGCTCATTACAAAAGGAAAAGTCTTTTGCCTTATTTTAGGGCTTCCATGTACAACCCTAGTTAAAATACAAAAAGGAAATTAGACAAAAATTCTGCTTAGGCAGTGGAAATTGACAGCAACTTATAAGCTGTATCCTTAAACCTAGTCACAGACATAGAATTAGGTAAAGATAAAAATGATAAGCCCACTTATAGGCAAGAAACAGGTTAGGCCACTTAAGCAGCACGTTTCTAGCACTATACAAATAGGCAGGCAGGTCCAAACGCTAAACCACCATTCAATTGACAACCCTTTATTTTTCAACTTAGGTAACAGTCCAAAATCAGTGTAGATGGGTGAAAAACTAGGCAAAAATAGCAAAGAGTGCAGTTTCATTTAGCAAAGGCTCAAGACGGCATGTGGAGACACTCACTGGAAGGTGAGATTGCCTTCCTGCTGTTCCTGTCGGACACTAACGCTGCTGTGCGCCCTCCGGGAGCAACGCTGCTGCAGCACAGGGTGGGCATCGCCTCCCCTTAGACCTGCCAGCTCATTCATGAAAACCTACCAGGAACATATCAGTGAAAAATACGTCAAATATGAGTTCTCTCTTATAAGCAATAAAATCACAAAATCAGCTGAGATTTGAAATTTAGGGTAAGCTAGGACAATTTCCTGCTTTTTAATATATAGATATTTTAGATTTGACAATCGTTTCCACATATACTCAGGCTTACAGAAGAGTTTCAAATATCAAATAGAGAAGCTGTTAATTCGCGCATGTTATGACTTCAGTTAATTCTTCCAGTGTTCAGACTTCAGAGCTGCTAATAACACTAAACTCAATACCGTGTTTGTTGAGTCTGTCAATCAACTTTGTTTTGGAAAAAGCTGCTCCAGGTGTGAAGACCCCGCCCCTAGAAAACAACAATAAGAAACAGTGCACTCAGCTCCTCTCCAGTCTCCTGTTTCACAGGCCTCACTATCAAACTGCTATAGAACCCATGAAAACCCGAGTCTTCTTGCTCATCACGGCTACCTTTGATTCCTTCCTAAAACCAGCCAAATGAGCAAGTAGTTATTCGTCAGGAGAAACCTGCACCACAGCCAACCCTATCTAGACTGGCTCCGTTCCTGGTGCTCCTGTTTTCATTCTATGCCTGTGTCCAAGGCGCACACTGTGCGCCATCACCCTGAAGAAACGCTGTTGTTTATAAGGACAGTCCTCAGACTCAGGGGGATTAAAGAAAGACCCGAATGGAATAAATTTAGGTAATCAATTATTATTAAAGTGTAAACAGAACTTAAATTGGATGAAAAAGAAGTTTTTAAAAATATGATAGCTAACATTCATAAATGCTAAATATTTTCAAGGGGGACCTAAGTATTTGAAACAATTGTATATAGGTTTTACTACGTACGAATTTTACTTTTTTAATCCTGTTTCGGGTCATGCCTGATTTGCTTCTCAGCAGCAGGACTCTGCTCATTTGAAAAGCCGGCCTTGTTTCAGGTGAGAGCTAAATGCTCCAGTAAGACAGTACGTCTGATCATCGTCTAGCCAGGATCCCATGGTTCCGCTTTTGCTGGTGTCAGGCAGGGTTAGCACTGCCAGCTGGGTGTAGTTCAGCACTGACTGGAGGCTCCTAGTAATACTACTTAACAACAGGGACCTGTTTTGTGTGGCTGACTCTGGACTTGAGCTACTTTGATAAAGAGCTGAAGTTAACTTATGGGTCTCCGACTTTTCTGTCTCCTCTCATTTACCTCCACAGTTGTTCCTCTGGGACCAGCTCTGGGCTGGTAAGAAGCTGTCCTTCTCAAAGTTTTAATTTACCTATATTTTTGGAGCAAAGGAACTGAACTATAAATGCTTATGTGCAAACCCAAAGCCTGAAAATCAAATCAAAATAAGCTAAAACATAACACAGATAAAAAAGATATCTTCTAATTGGAAGAAAACCAAACTTACGCCTTAGGCAGATCAGAAGCATCATTTAGAAGAGTCATGGCTGCCTGGACCATAGCTATGGGGGTAGCCACATAGCCAGCCTCTGCAGAAAACAGTTGATCAAGGAAAAAGAAAGCGTTCATGAAGTATCCATGCAACGACATCAAAAATCAAATGGCAGATTTCATATCTAACTCTAGGTGTGCAGATTTCTTTTCAATAGATACTCTAGTCACTTAACAAAAATAACATTTCCATAGTATTTATTAAGTGTTAGGAACTGTACTGTTTTAAATCTATTAAACTCATTTAATTTTCATAACAATTAAAGGTCAATATTATTTTTATCCCATAGAGAGAGAGGTTAAGTGACTCGCCCAAACTAACAGGTAGTGACTGAGCCAGAATCACACCCAGGCAGCTGGCTCCAGAGGCCGCTCCAGTAAGACAGTACGCCTGATCATCGCCTAGCCAGGATCCCATGGTTCCGCTTTTGCTGGTGTCAGGCAGGGTTAGCACTGCCAGCTGGGTGTAGTTCAGCACTGACTGAGGCCTTAGACACATTTAACAACAGGACCTGTTTTGTGTGGCTGACTCTGGACTTGAGCTACTTTTATAAAGAGCTGAAGTTAACTTATGGGTCTCCCAATTTTTCTGTCTCTCTCATTTACCTCCACAGTTGTTCTCTGGACCAGCTCGGTAAGAAGCTGTCCTTCTCAAAGTTTTAATTTACCTATATTTTTGGAGCAAAGGAACTGAACTATAAATGCTTATGTGCAAACCCAAAGCCTGAAAATCAAATCAAAATAAGCTAAACATAACATTACAGATAGAAGATATTCTAATTGAAGAAAACTAAACTTACGCCAGGCAGATCAGGAAGCATCATTTAGAAGAGTCATGGCTGCCTGGACCATAGCTATGGGGGTAGCCACATAGCCAGCCTCTGCAGAAAACAGTTGATCAAGGAAAAGAAAGCCGCTCATGAAGTATCCATGCAACGACATCAAAAATCAAATGGCAGATTTCATATCTAACTCTAGGTGTAAGATTTCTTTTTCAATAGATACTCTAGTCACTTAACAAAAATAACATTTCCATAGTATTTATTAAGTGTTAGAACTGTACTGTTTTAAATCTATTAAACTCATTTAATTACAACAATTAAAGGTCAATATTATTTTTATCCCATAGAGAGAGAGGTTAAGTGACTCGCCCAAACTAACAGGTAGTGACTGAGCCAGAATCACACCCAGGCAGCTGGCTCCAGAGGCCACGCCCACCCACTGCACTGCACTGCGCTGCTTCTGGACAATCACTGAAGCCACGATCCAGAGGCCGCGCCTCCCACTCCACCCACTGCACTGCACTGCGCTGCCGGACAATCACTGAAGCCAATGATCCAGAGGCCGCGCTCCCACTCCACCCTGCACTGCACTGCGCTGCTTCTTGACAATCACTGAAGCCAATGATCCAGAGAGGCCGCGCCTCTACCCACTGCACTGCACTGTGCTGCTTCTGGACAATCACTGAAGCCAACGATCCAGAGGCCGCGCCTCCCACTCCACCCACTGCACTGCACCGCTGCTTCTTGACAATCACTGAAGCCACGATCCAGAGGCCGCTGTCCTCCCACCCACCCACTGCACTGCACTGCGCTGCCGGACAATCACTGAAGCCAATGATCCAGAGGCCGCTGGCCCCACCCACCCACTGCACTGCACTGCGCTGCTTCTTGACAATCACTGAAGCCAATGATCCTGGGTTTTTTGTTTCTCTATTAATACACTGAGCCGATCCCTATCTGTATTCACACACTTCACTTAAAAACAACAACAAAAAACCCTCTCAATTTTTTTCTTAAAGAAAATGACTAAACACGAGTAACTTAAAAAAATGTTTATAAACAAGTGGAACGTTAGCATTTATAATCCTGTCAAATAATGAAAATAGAGTCAACTTACCTTAAAAAGTCAGGTGGGAATCTGAGAAAAGGGCAAGATGGAAACATACTATCATCTGGCTTGATTAAAATCCCCCGTGGGCCAGGCATGGCAGTTCATGCCTGTAATCCCAACACTGAGGATTGAAGGCTGAGGCAGGAGGATTGCTCGAGCCCAGCCTAGACAACATAGTGAGACCCCGTCTCAATAAAGAATAATAGCCTGTGACCTATCAGGGCTGACAGTAATTATACCACAGTTCACAAGTGGACCTGTCTGTCTCTGGAATCACTTGAACCCAGGAGGCAGAGGTTGTGGTGAGCCAAGATCAAGGCCATTGTACCCAGCCCAGGCAACAAGAGCAAATCTCCGTCTCAAAAATACAAACAAAACTAGATACAGGTTGCAGCAAAGGAATGCTTACACACTGTTGGTGAAAGTATAAATTAGTTCAACCGTTGTGGAAAACAGTGTGGTTATTCCTCAAAGACCTCAAAACAAGTACCTTCCGACCCAGCAATCCCATTACTGGGCATATACCCAAAGGAATGTAAGTTGTTCTATTATAAAGGCACACACGTGTGTATGTTCACTGCAGTACTATTCACAATAGCAAAGACATGGAATCAACCTAGAAGTCCATCAATAGTAGACTGACACAGAAAAATGTGGTTCATATACACCACGGAATGCCACATAGCCACAAAGAATGAGACTGCGTCCTTTGCAGAAACATGGATGGTGCTGAGGTCATTATCCTCAGCAAACTAACGCGCCTAACTAATGCAAGAACAGAAAACCAAATACCACATGTTCTCACTTACAAGTGGGGAGCTAAGTGATGGAACACATGACAGAGGGAACAACACACACTGGGACTTCAGAGGGTGGATGAGTAAGTGGAAGGAGAGGGTCAGGAAAACTAACAAATGGGTACTAGGCTTAATACCTGGGTGACAAAATAATCTGTATGACAAACCCCACGCCACTTTACCTATATAACAAACCTGCACATGCACCTGAACTCTTTAAAAACCTTTGGGGCCAAAGACAGACTACTTCTTCTTTTTTTTTTTTGAGATGGAGTCTTGCTCTGTTGCCCAGGCTGGAGTGCAGTGGTGTGATCTCAGCACACTGCAACTTCTACCTTCTGGGTTCAAGCAATTCTCCTGCCCCCTAGCCTCCCTGAGTAGCTGGGATTACCAGGCACCCGCCACCAGGCCCAGCTAATTTCTGTACTTTTAGTAGAGATGAGGTTTCACCATGTTGGTCAGGCTGGTCTCGAACTCCTGACATCAAGTGATACACCTGCCTCGGCCTCCCAAAGTGCTGGGATTACAGGCATGAGCTACTGTGCCCAAACCGAAGACTTCTAATAACAACAGTAGTGATAATGTTGAAACTTAGTAAGTGCTTACACCATGTGTCAGGCACTAATCCAAGTAAGCAACTATGTTAGCTCATTTAATTCTCACAATAATCCGATGAGGTTGAGTAACTTGCCTAGGCCATTGTAAACACAGATGCTGATGCCAGAGCCTGCATCCCTAACCATGATGTGACCTGCTGCCTGGATGGCATGTGACCGTCCCTGGGATGCCAGAGCCTGCATCCCTAACCATGATGACTCTGCCTCTGCCTGGACGTACAGGACTGTCCCTGGGATGCCAGAGCCTGCATCCGTAACCATGATGACCTGCTGCCTGATGGTACAGGACTGTCCCTGGGATGCCAGAGCCTGCATCCGTAACCATGATGACTCCGTTGCCTGATGGTGCAGGACCGTCCCTGGGATGCCAGAGCCTGCATCCGTAACCATGATGACCTGCTGCCTGATGGTACAGGACTGTCCCTGGGATGCCAGAGCCTGCATCCGTAACCATGATGACCTGCTGCCTGATGGTGCAGGGACTGTCCCTGGGATGCTGAGCCTGCATCCCTAACCATGATGACCTGCTGCCTGACGGTACAGGACTGTCCCTGGGATGCCAGAGCCTGCATCCCCAACCATGATGACCTGCTGCCCGGATGGTGCAGACCGTCCCTGGGATGCCAGAGCCTGCATCCCTAACCATGATGACCTGCTGCCTGACGGTGCAGGACCATCCCTGGAGTCCTGGCTGATATGCAGAAAACTTGTGGAAGGAGAAAATAAGGTGACAACCTCTACTCCCTGCTCCTAAAATACGGTTAAGGAAGTCAAATGGGATGACGCTGAAGCTGCACTGGCAGAAAAGAATAAGGGCTGTCAAGGGCTCCAAAAAGGAACTCTAGAAAGCCAAGGGAATTGGGCTAGTGATTTCAGCTTAACATAGGTCCAGAGATTCATAATGAGGCATGGGTTTTGCTTGCAGCTCAGATCCTGACCACATACACAAGTGAACTGAAAAACTGCTGTAACTCCCGAGCCCACGTGTGGAGCACCTTGTGGTGACAGCCAGGACAGGGTCAGCAAAGGCCTCACAGAACCCCAGTAAGACTCTGTCATGAGACACAGTAACAGTAGAGGTTAGCAGACTCCAGTTCAAAAGACAGAAGCCATTCCTACTCCCAGTGGCCAGGCCGAGGGAGGTCTTTTGAACTGAGCCTCAACGTTTTTGATAATTAGCAGTTTACTCACCTGAGGTGAGTCATATACTTTCAGCAAATGGGAGCAGGCAGAACCTTGGGGGATGAAAAGGAAAATCAGACGAGACACACATCGTACTCAAGCTGGAGGATGCGGTCACACTGCTACCTTCAGAATCAGGTCAATGCTCGAAAGATGGCATTGCAAAGCTAGAAACAGGACAGGATAGCTTCACCTAGCGGTTCCCAAAGCGCATCGTAAACACAGAGGCTCCACTCTGACCTCCCTGAATGCAAACTCCTGAGGCACTGAGGAGCCTGGGAGGCACCTGAGGAACCTGGAGGCACTGAGGAGCCTGGAGGCACTGAGGAGCCTGGAGGAACTGAGGAACCTGGAGAACTGAGGAGCCTGAGGAACTGGAGGAACCTGAGGAACTGAGGAGCCTGGAGGCACTGAGGAGCCTGGAGGCACTGAGGAACCTATTGCTGTTCTGTGACTCAGACGCAGCAGCTCGTCAGTCAGCGGGCTCCTGATTGCTCCGGCACCGCTGCACTTAGAGCTTGGTAAAACCTTTCTAAGGTCCCACAAGTAGCACACAGCTGAAGATCTGTATCTTGTGACGACCAGGCCAGGACAGAGGAAGCAGAGGTAGGCTGGGCAGTACTACCACCAAGAATCCCCGTCGAGTTAGGATGCCTCCCTTCTTACAGGCAGAGCAGAAGGGTCTCCCAAAACGAATCATAGTCCTAAATATTTCATGTTCCTCACTGTTTAGTAGAAATTCCATAAAGGAGTGGCTGTCTTGTTTAGGTAATGAACAACATGATTGTTATGTATATATGTGTTTATTATATGCTCATTACAAAAGGAAAAGTCTTTTGCCTTATTTTAGGTTTCATGTACAACCCTAGTTAAAATACAAAAAGGAAATTAGACAAAATTCTGCTTAGGCAGTGGAAATTGACAGCAAACTTATAAGCTGTATCCTGTTCCAGTCACAGACATAGAATTAGGTAAAGATAAAATACATAAGCCCACTTATAGGCAAGAAACAGGTTAGGCCACTTAAGCAGCACGTTTCTAGCACTATACAAATAGGCAGGCAGGTCCAAACGCTAAACCACCATTCAATTGACAACCCTTTATTTTTCAACTTAGGTAACAGTCCAAAATCAGTGTAGATGGGTGAAAAACTAGGCAAAAATAGCAAAGAGTGCAGTTTTACTTAGCAAAGGCTCAAGACGGCATGTGGAGACACTCACTGGAAGGTGAGATTGCCTTCCTGCTGTTCCTGTCGGACACTAACGCTGCTGTGCGCCTCCGGAGCAACGCTGCTGCAGCACAGGGTGGGCACCGCTCCCTTAGACCTGCCAGCTCATTCATGAAAAACCTACCAGGAACATATCAGTGAAAATACGGGCCAAATATGAGTTCTCTCTTATAAGCACAAAATCACAAAATCAGCTGAGATTTGAAATTTAGGTAAGCTAGACAATTTCCTGCTTTTTAATATATAGATATTTTAGATTTGACAATCGTTTCCACATATACTCAGGCTTACAGAAGAGTTTCAAATATCAAATAGAGAAGCTGTTAATTCGCGCATGTTATGACTTCAGTTAATTCTTCCAGTGTTCAGACTTCAGAGCTGCTAATAACACTAAACTCAATACCGTGTTTGTTGAGTCTGTCAATCAACTTTGTTTTGGAAAAAGCTGCTCCAGGTGTGAAGACCCCGCCCCTAGAAAACAACAATAAGAAACAGTGCACTCAGCTCCTCTCCAGTCTCCTGTTTCACAGGCCTCACTATCAAACTGCTATAGAACCCATGAAACCTGAGTCTTCTTGCTCATCACGGCTACCTTTGATTCCTTCCTAAAACCAGCCAAATGAGCAAGTAGTTATTCACAGGAGAAACCTGCACCACAGCCAACCCTATCTAGACCGGCTCCGCTCCCGGTGCTCCTGTTTTCATTCTATGCCCAGTCCAAGGCGCACACTGTGCGCCATCACCCTGAAGAAACGCTTTTGTTGTTTATAAGGACAGTCCTCAGACTCAGGGGGACAAAGAAAGACCCGAATGGAATAAATTTAGGTAATCAATTATTATTAAAGTAAACAGAACTTAAATTGATGAAAGAAGTTTTTAAAAATATGATAGCTAACATTCATAAATGCTAAATATTTTCAAGGGGGACCTAAGTATTTGAAACAATTGTATATAGGTTCTTTACTACGAGATTTAATTTTACTTTAATCCTTGTTTCGGGTCATGCCTGATTTGCTTCTCAGCAGCAGGACTCTGCTCATTTGAAAGCCGTCTTGTTTCAGGTGAGAGCTAAATGCTCCAGTAAGACAGTACGCCTGATCATCGCCTAGCCAGGATCCCATGGTTCCGCTTTTGCTGGTGTCAGGCAGGGTTAGCACTGCCAGCTGGGTGTAGTTCAGCACTGACTGAGGCCTTAGACACATTTAACAACAGGACCTGTTTTGTGTGGCTGACTCTGGACTTGAGCTACTTTTATAAAGAGCTGAAGTTAACTTATGGGTCTCCCAATTTTTCTGTCTCTCTCATTTACCTCCACAGTTGTTCTCTGGACCAGCTCGGTAAGAAGCTGTCCTTCTCAAAGTTTTAATTTACCTATATTTTTGGAGCAAAGGAACTGAACTATAAATGCTTATGTGCAAACCCAAAGCCTGAAAATCAAATCAAAATAAGCTAAACATAACATTACAGATAGAAGATATTCTAATTGAAGAAAACTAAACTTACGCCAGGCAGATCAGGAAGCATCATTTAGAAGAGTCATGGCTGCCTGGACCATAGCTATGGGGGTAGCCACATAGCCAGCCTCTGCAGAAAACAGTTGATCAAGGAAAAGAAAGCCGCTCATGAAGTATCCATGCAACGACATCAAAAATCAAATGGCAGATTTCATATCTAACTCTAGGTGTAAGATTTCTTTTTCAATAGATACTCTAGTCACTTAACAAAAATAACATTTCCATAGTATTTATTAAGTGTTAGAACTGTACTGTTTTAAATCTATTAAACTCATTTAATTACAACAATTAAAGGTCAATATTATTTTTATCCCATAGAGAGAGAGGTTAAGTGACTCGCCCAAACTAACAGGTAGTGACTGAGCCAGAATCACACCCAGGCAGCTGGCTCCAGAGGCCACGCCCACCCACTGCACTGCACTGCGCTGCTTCTGGACAATCACTGAAGCCACGATCCAGAGGCCGCGCCTCCCACTCCACCCACTGCACTGCACTGCGCTGCCGGACAATCACTGAAGCCAATGATCCAGAGGCCGCGCTCCCACTCCACCCTGCACTGCACTGCGCTGCTTCTTGACAATCACTGAAGCCAATGATCCAGAGAGGCCGCGCCTCTACCCACTGCACTGCACTGTGCTGCTTCTGGACAATCACTGAAGCCAACGATCCAGAGGCCGCGCCTCCCACTCCACCCACTGCACTGCACCGCTGCTTCTTGACAATCACTGAAGCCACGATCCAGAGGCCGCTGTCCTCCCACCCACCCACTGCACTGCACTGCGCTGCCGGACAATCACTGAAGCCAATGATCCAGAGGCCGCTGGCCCCACCCACCCACTGCACTGCACTGCGCTGCTTCTTGACAATCAATGAAGCCAATGATCCTTGGGTTTTGTTTCTCTATTAATACACTGAGCCGATCCCTATCTGTATTCACACACTTCACTTAAAAACAACAACAAAAACTCCTCTCATTCTTTTCTTTAAAGAAAATGATCAAACACTTCCAGTAACTTAAAAATGTTTATAAACAAGTGGAACGTTAGCATTTATAATCCTGTCAAATAATGAAAATAGAGTCAACTTACCTTAAAAAGTCAGGTGGGAATCTGAGAAAAGGGCAAGATGGAAACATACTATCATCTGGCTTGGATTAAATCCTCAGGGCCAGGCATGGCAGTTCATGCCTGTAATCCCAACACTGAGGATTGAAGGCTGAGGCAGGAGGATTGCTCGAGCCCAGCCTAGACAACATAGTGAGACCCCGTCTCAATAAAGAATAATAGCCTGTGACCTATCAGGGCTGACAGTAATTATACCACAGTTCACAAGTGGACCTGTCTGTCTCTGACAGTAATTATACCACAGTTCAAGTGTGGACCTGTCTGTCTCTTGGCTGTGCAATTATACCACAGTTCACAAGTGGACCTGTCTGTCTCTGACAGTAATTATACCACAGTTCACAAGTGGACCTGTCTGTCTCTGGACAAGTAATTATACCACAAAGTCTGGCCAAGTGACCTGTCTGTCTCTGACAGTAATTATACCACAGTTCATGCTGGGTGATTCGTCTGTCTCTGACAGTAATTATACCACAGTTCACAAGTGGACCTGTCTGTCTCTGGACAGTGTAATTATACCACAGTTCACAAGTGACCTGTCTGTCTCTGTGACAGCAATTATACCACAGTCTCACAAGGACCTGTCTGTCTCTGACAGTAATTATACCACAGTTCACAAGTGGACCTGTCTGTCTCTGACAGTAATTATACCACAGTTCACAAGTGGGACTTGTCTGTTCTGGATGTAATTATACCACAGTTCACAAGTGACCTTGTCTGTCTCTGACAGTAATTATACCACAGTTCACAAGTGGACCTGTCTCTGCACAGTTCTCTAAAATGTATAGCAAAAGTTCTTGAACGTTTTTGGGCAACATTCTTTTAACAACCTATCAGAAGCCATTCCCTTCCCTTGAAAAGTGCACGTGTGCATACACATTTTACAAACAATGTCAGGGTGTTCGGAGACTAAAGAAATCCTAGACCACAGATTTGACTGATGTTATAATTACATTGCTTGCATATGAGACTCAAACAGGTAAATACCAAACAATCCCTTTTCCTATTAATACTAATTAAAATTTGCCATTCGGAATTATTGAATCATACTCCAAAAAAAGCCAGAGGGAAGGATGCACTAATAAAATTGGATTATATCAATAATTTCAATCTTCTTTTGACAGAATAATTTTAAGTTGCTTAATTTGTACAAATGTATTTCTAAAACAAGCTTTAAAAAGAATATATTGTAATGGCATTCTACTTTACAGCTAAGGGTACAAAATTCCCAAGCAATCTTAAGTGATATGTGAAATACCTGGTCCTTTCACCTGCGTACAGATTTTGATATTTGGTTTGTTCTTATCAGTACCGATGCCTTGGCTGTATCCTTGACCAAAGAACGTCAATGTGAATGAGGCAGCATCGATCTGTGAAAGAGAAAGCAAAGGGCGCATTTCATAAATACGTCATTTCCTCCTGGAACATAGTAAAACCGACTATTCTATTTCAAGGGAGACATTTTCAACAGATGAAAACATTATTTCATCCGCCAGAATATCCTGTCATCATTTAAGTATGGAGCGAAAATTAATTCTTTGAAGCTGTAAGTTTTGAAGACTGATGTGACGCTGGGGGGAAGCGGAGTGGTAAGAAATAGGGAAGAAATAAAGATGAACTGGAAATAGTTTTTATTGGGGGACAGAATATAGAAATCTGGTTTTATATACCTATTTGAGGCGACAAGACAAAAATAACCAGCAAGTAATGGAAATACGGGCCTGGAGTACAGGTATATAATTGTTCCATAATTGTTCCACTTAAAGATGTAAAAATTCGACTCAAAAAATTAAATTCTAGAGGACTTATCCTAGCATGTTTCACAATCACTAAATTTAGGAATGAAGTGATAAAGAATTCAATCATGATCAACACATTTTTATTAAGTATTAACTAAGGGTCAGAGACCATGTTAGGCCCTGAGACATAAACATATGATCACTACCTTTCCTGGAGCTTACAGTTTAATAGGAGGGAAGGGGGAGACAGAGAGAACCAGATTAAAATAACAATATGAGACATAAACTAAAACACACAGGAATAGCTCAGAGGAGGGTGTTACTAATCTACCAGGCAGAGGGCAATGGTTCTGAAGTGTATACACACACACACACACAAAAACACATTTTAATGTCTTTTTTTAAAACCCAAAAAGTAGATGGATTCCAGAAAGGAGAACCCATTATTTAAAAGGAAGAAGGGATGCAGTCGCATAGCCTTTCCAGAACATACAATTCAAGAGGTACAGACGAGGTCAGATACACAGGCCACACTTGTTCCCTCTCCTGCTACGGTGCCCACACTCATGGGTTCTAATCCTCCCTCAGGCTACACACACTATCCAACCCAGCATAGTCTCTGGGTGGCTCACACCAATTAATCTCAAAGTTGGATGAAACATGAAACCGATGTGCTATCCAGAACTAGATCATGAAGGGTCTAGGACGGCCTCACATCTCTGAAGATGGACTTCCGGCCAGTTGTGCTCCAGGGGTGGGTACCAAAACCATTCAAATCTGGAACCTTCTTCCTTCCTCCACAGCAGTGATTCTCAACCCTGGCAGCACACCAGCGTCACTGGGCAGGTTTAGAAAGCCCCAATGCCCAGGGGGCATTCCAGACCAATGAACCAGAGTCTCTGGTCATCTGTTTTGGCTTCTCTTCCACAGTTGGGAACCAATGCTCTATGCTTTCAGGCCCCACTCCAGACCTACTGAATCAGAATGTCCAGAAGCAGGACGACGGCATGTGTAGGTGAAAAAAGCTCCCTAGGTGATTCTTTTTATTATTATTATTATTATTTTGGAGACAGAATCTCGCTTTGTCGCCCAGGCTGCAGTGCAGTGGCATGATCTCGGCTCACTGCAAGCTCTACCTCCCAAGTTCAAGCAATTCTCCTGCCTCAGCCTCCTGGGTAGCTGGGACTACAGGTGTGCACCACCACGTCCAGCTAATGTTTGTGTTTTTAGTAGAGACGAGGTTTCATCCGCCCGCCTCAGCCTCCCGAAGTGCTGAGATTACAGGTGTGAGCCCCTGTGCCCGGCCATGGTTCTGATACATGAAATCTCAGTTGAGAATCACTGATAAAGTAGTGGGCCAGGACGGCCATGGTTCTGATACATGAAGTCTCAGTTGAGAATCACTGATAAAGCAGTGGGTCAGGTCGGCCATGATTCTGATACATGAAATCTCAGTTGAGAATCACTGAGAAAGCAGTGGGTCAGGAACATTTTATAAAGAAGGCAATGACAAGGTCAGATTTTCTGTCTTAGAAAGATCTCTTGGACAGCAGTGGGAAGAAAGCAAGCATAGGAAGGCTATGAAAAGTTGAAGCCAGAGACGGAAGCCTGCACTACCAGCCACGAGCCGGAAGCCTGCACTATACACAAAGTAAAACAGCAACCCAAAGAATAACAGAAAATATTTTCTAGTCCTTTTGTTCATTTTTGAATTGTTTGTTTTTTGTTGTTGAGTTCTAGGAGTTCTCTTTATTTTCTGGATATGAATCTTCTGTCAAATATATGATTTGAAAATATTTTCTCCAAAGAAGACATACAAATGGCTAATAATTGCAAATGGAAAGATGTTCAACACTAACAATCATCAGGTAAATGCAAGTCAAAAATACAATGAGATACCACCTCACGGCCATTACAGAAAATAACATGTCAGTGAGGATGCGGAAAAACTGGAACTCTTGTATACTGCTGGTGGGAAGGTAAAACGGTGCAGCAGCTCTGCAGAACAATTTAGTGGTTCCTCAAGAAGTTAAATATATAATTTACATATGGTCTAGCATTCCATTTCTGAGTATATGCCCATAAGAATTTAAAGCAGAATCTTGAAGAGGTTATCTGTACACCCACGTTCGCAGCAGCATAACTGGCAATAGCCAAAAGCTGGAGGCAACCCACGTGTTCATTGATGAATGAATGGATGCACAAAACGTGATCCCAACAGGCAACAGACAATCATTCACCCTTAAAGAGGAAAGAAATTCCAACATATGCTACAATGTGGATGAACCTTGAAGACCTTATGCTAAGTGAAATAAGCCAGTCACAAAAAGACAAAGACTGATTCCACTTACATGAGGCACTTGGAGTCATCAAATTCAGAGAGACAGAAAGTGGAATGTGGTTGCCAGGGGCTGGGGGAAGGGGAAATGAGGAGTTATTGTTTAATGGGTGTAGAGTTTCAGTTTTGCAAGATGAAAAGTGTTCTGGACATGGATGGTGGTGATTGCTGCACAAAAATGTGAATGTACTTAATACCACTCAACATTTTAAAACGGTTAAGATGGTAAATTTTATGTTTTGTGTATTTTATCACAATAAGAAGAAAAAAGAGGCCGGGCGTGGTGGCTCACGCCTGTAATCCCAGCACTCTGGGAGGCTGAGTCGGGTGGATCACAAGGTCAGGAGTTCAAGACCATCCTGGCCAACATGGTGAAACCGTGTCTCTACTAAAAACACAAAAAAATTAGCTGGGCGTGGTGGCGCATTCCTGCACAGTGCTTACGTTAAGTGCACAGGCGGGGGGAATAGCCTTGTACAAGGGAATATGTCATCCAGAGAAGAGCAAAGATGGTCAAGATGGGAACAGTGATGATAGGTCTGAAGGTAGGAATTTGAGGGGATCCAAAATAGTGCTCTCAGTTATTTTAGTGAGGTAGGAGTTGGATAATTTGCATATAGGGAAGACAGCTGCAGTTGGGTAGATTTTGAAAAAAGCCACTGAGAGGAAGTAAGAGGCAGGACTAATGAAAAGGAAAAGAATCAGCAAGTGATGCTAACATTCCACGGAGGAGGAAATGGGAACCTGCTGCTACCATCTGTTCAGCAGTGGGATTTCCCCCGGGGTGCCTGGTGTCAAGGAGATGAAAGCTAATGACCCAAGGCCTGAGCCAGGGTTGGGATCTGTAAGCCAAATGGTAGAAAACGAGGCAGCCCTATTGTTAGGGATACTGGACACACAGAAATTCACTTGATCCACCATCGGAATCCAGGGTGTGTGGAAGAGGAAGTGAAACTGGGGGCAGAGGCAGCACAAAGGAAAAGATAACAGAGGAGAAAAATGGAGGAGGAAAAATATTTGAGATTTCTAGAAGTGAAGAGAACACAATTTCTGGAGTTAAATGGCTGGGTTCTCATCCCAGCTGGGGCATGTACTAGATGGAGAAACTTGGGCAGGTTCCTTAGCCTCTGTGTACCTCAGTTCTCTCATCTGTGAAATGAAGATAATAATAATACCTGCATTCAAGGGTGTTTGAAAAGATTCAATTATCTAATTTACATAAAGCACTTAAAAGAGTGTCTGAAACACAGTGCCCTGTCAAGTGTTAGATGATACTGTCATTGCACCGAGGAAAAGTAAAAACAAAGAAAAATATTATTTTAGTGTCTGCATACAAAAGAAACGATTACCTGTTTTTGTGTTGGGCCTTGTTTTGAAAAATAGCCAAAGGAGAAGAACCATGGGAACTAAAGGAAAAAACAAAAAACAAAAAAACACCTCAGTGATATTTTTTTAAAACCCATGGAAAATACTTCTAATACAAATAATCTAATTTCATAAAATCTTACTTTTATGAGAAGTTGCCTTCCAATTCCAAACCTCACAAAGAATAAAAAGAAAAGTCCTGCAAACATCAGCTTAATAACAGAGGTGATTCCTCCCACAGTTACGTAAGCAGCATACTGAACCTGGATGATGGAGAAGGCAAAGTTAGAACAGTACTCCCTGCATTTTAGACCAAGTAATACAAGAATGTTAGCTACCTGTACCTTTCTCTTCCATCACAAATGTGGACCAAAAGCAGTTTCCACTTTACAAATGCATTATGTTCTGAAACCTTGTTCAGAAACCAGACACTGGGAACCTATTTTCTGTCTTGTTTGTCAGACCTGGTGAACAGGAAGTGTGATAGTCTACTTTTTAAAGAAAATTGTTTATAAATAGTAATTAGCTTCCCCTACTTGGACACAAAAATCTACATAATCCCTAATGTATCTGAGCTTAGCAATCATACATTACAGAATGCAGAGAATTTCCTAGGAGAAAATGCCCTCCACCTTTTAACTTGAAATATAGTTTCCTCCTGAAGTCTCGGCAATGAAAGCAATTACTTTCCTCACCAAAAGCAGCAGGACGGCACTCCAGGTGCGGCAAGGAGAGAAGGGACAGAAAGGGTTCCAGATATTTCCACAAGCAAAAGAGTTTCTAGCAAGTGAAACGCTAAACAGGGATTCTGGGGTGCTTATGACAGCAGGATTTCCCGTACTGAATTTGCTGCTATTGTGTTACATTAAAAAGATATTCAGCAGCCAGATCTGAAGCAAAAGACAAGGCTATAAAATACAAAATGTTCTACCCTAATGATTCTGTGTATTTCCAGAGGCTGAAGCGTATTATTTAGCTCTTCCTTTTTCTGCCTTATAAACAAAAATATCCCACACTGAATAGATAGGGGAACTGTAACACACACAGAATATTCTTTATTGATAAATAAACCACATATACTTACTGGTGATTCCTCTAAATTTTCATACAAGTAACGTTGAGTCCTCTTTACAACAGACACATCAGATCCCATAAAAGGAATGGAATAACCTTTGAGTTCCCGACAATAAGAAATTGGCCACCTGCAAGACAGGCCTATGAATATTTTGCATTTCCTGCAGTTACAGCTTTGGCTGGTAAATGTCTGAATAAGCAGATCAGTGGCCGGGCGCGGTGGCTCATGCCTGGAATCCCAGCACTTTGGGAGGCCAAGGCAGGAGGATGACTAAGGCCAGGAGTTTGAGACCAGCCTGGGCAACAAAGAGAGACTCTGTCTCAAAAGGAAAAAAAAAAACAACAAAAAAAACCCAGAATGCTCCTTTCAACAGCCCAACCCTAAATTCTTATCTCTGAACTCCTCACATATGTCCTGCAGTATAAAACTAAAGTACATTTTTAAAAAAGAAAAAAAGTTCTCACATAAAATTTAGTTGACAGTTAATTTCTACATTGATAGGGAAAAGTCATAAAATTCACTTATTTCCTAGGATTCAACTGTTTTATTATATATGAAGTACTTAAGCTTATGGTAATGTATTAATTATAACTTATTTATCTGTGAAAACAATTCTGAACTTACTACAAAATAGTCCCCAAGCTTTTCTTAGTAACATACTTTATTAATAGCCAACCCAACAACAATATATTTAGACTAGATATATAAAAAATGGATTTTAAGTAAATATACCTTCTCTTCAATTTTGGACCAATGAGTGGGACGGGTTTCAGATTTGACGCATTTCGTAGTTTTCTCAAATTACTCTGATCTCCAAAACCATAAATTGCTGACTTCCAGGTACCATCATGAATGCTCAACCCCTAATAAAATATTACAAGAGTTAAAGAAACGTGTCTTAAGGGATAGTTACAAACAATATTTCACTTATATTTGGACAAGACATAATCCCTTATTTAATAATCTTGAGGTGAATTTTCATGACCAGCTAGGGAGCAGTCACATTCATTAGCTTGATCATACTCAATATTTACACCAAGAGAAGCCCTTTCTTTCCCCCTCCTATCATTCTTTAAATTCTGTAATAAGTTACTTAGTTTTACTTCACCAATTTTACTCAACTAATTGACCATATTCCTTTAAGATCAGCCACTCTAATCCTTTTCTTTTCTGCCTCATATGATCTGCAGAATAGCCACCCTAATCCTCTCTCGATCCTACACAAACTCCTCGACATTTCCGGATATGTCCGTGTGCACATTTATGCATACATACACTGCGTACTGTGCATCTCTCCATCCTGCTACACCTGGGTCCCTGTCTACCTCCAACACCTCTTACTCCAGCTCCAAGTTATCGATCTGTCTTTCTACAGAAGTCTTGGTAAAATAATCTTTTAAAACATTTAAAGTTCACTAATATGATTTGTATTTTAATTGCTTTCCTCAGCCCCTTGATTTCTTTTTGGTATCATAGCCAGTGCAGAGTCCTTAGTATTTGCTTGATCTTACTCAGACTCTCATTTATTCACTGATTTTTCATCCTTTCATGAGACTTTGGGCTGTCAGTGCCCTCCATTCTACCAATACTCTTTACACCTTCCCCAACCCTTACCCCCAGCGCCACCGAGAAAACAAGTGGCTGAGATGAGACCCCAGGAGAGGACATGACCTCTGAACTTACTATCACAGCGCTGGCCTTTGAGACGGAGTCTCGCTCTTATCGCCCAGGCGGGAGTGCCAATGGCACGATCTCAGCTCATTGCAACCTCCACCTGCTGGGTTCAAGCAATTCTCCTGTCTCAGCCTCCCGAGTAGCTGGGATTACAGGCGCGTGCCACCACGCCCGGCTAATTTTTGTATTTTTAGTAAAGACAGGGTTTCACCATGTTGGCCAGGCTGGTCTTGAACTCCTGATCTCAGGCAAGCCGCCCGCCTCGGCCTCCCAAAGCGCTGGGATTGCAGGCGTGAGCCACCGCACCCAGCCTAGCGCTGACCTTTCTTTCCCAACCTCTAGGTGGGCCTTTTAATTCTCTATTACATGAATAAACTTCATTTATTATATTGATTGTACATCACTGTATTATGTCCTTCCTTCCATGTTGTTTACATTGTTTAGGTGAACAGAGTAATTCAGAAAGATTCAAAACTAATTCCGTCACAACATTTTCAGAGGGATATCCGTGAGGCAGGTATGACGGTACCTTTCATTGTTAATAAACAAACTAAGAGCAACAATAAAACCATTAAAAGATTCAGGTTTTCCTATCTCAGCTTTGATGATACTGAAAAGCAGGGATACCAAATCTAACTTTCATTCTGGTACAGATTTATTTCTTCTATTTTATTAAAACTACAACAGAACTAAGGTCTTAAAGGTTTGATTTGTTGTCTACTCAATCTGAGCCTAGCCAAAAGGGCCTATGTGAATCTCTACAAATGTGAAGATTCCAAACACCAGGAGAAAACAGCTTTTTAAAAATCTAAAAATATTTTCTTATACGACTAAGCCATCAAAAAGGAAAAAATTACATTCAATTAAAAAAAAATTGCCTTTCACAGAAAAATACAGAGATGTACCTACTACAATTTTATTAAATTGTATATTGATATATGTTATGAAGCCAACGTACATGTAAACATCCAGATCAAGAACTACAGGTGGCCAGCAACTAAGACGGCCCTCCTTCCGTCCTGCCTTTACAGTAATCAAGAAAAATTCTTTTCTTTAGAGTTTAATCACCTAAGAATTCATCCCTAAACATTATAATTAGTTTTGCCTGTTTCTAAGCTTTATAGAAATGCAATCAAGCATGATTTATTACTTAGCATTTGGCTTTTTATGTTTGAAATTGTGATGTCAGGATTTATCACGGGTTGTAAGTAACTCCTACACTGCAGCTAGCCTTTTGACTTTCTTACCTGTGTGTTTTGGGAAACATTCTCAATTTTTTTTTATTTTTTTTATTTTTTATTTTTTGAGACGGAGTCTCACTCTGTCACCCAGTCTGGAGTGCGGTGGCCGGATCTCGGCTCACTACAAGCTCCGCCTCCCGGGTTCACGCCATTCTCCTGCCTCAGCCTCCCAAGTAGCTGAGACTACAGGCGCCCGCCACCTCGCCCGGCTAGTTTTTTGTATTTTTTAGTAGAGATGGGGTTTCACCGTGTTGACCAGGATGGTCTCGATCTCCTGACCTCGTGATCCGCCCGCCTCGGCCTCCCAAAGTGCTGGGATTACAGGCTTGAGCCACCATGCCCAGCCAACATTCTCAATTTTAAGAGTACACAAGTATATCACTTTTTCATTACATTTAATGCCTCTTTGTCTTTTTGTAGAAGCCATTCCCAACCGTGAGGGCTTCCATAATCCATCTAAACTTGATTTTTGGACAGGGTGCAAAAGTATGAATCCGATTCCATGTTTTCTCCAAGCAGTCACTCAATTGTCCCAGCATCATCTCCTGAAAAGCCCCCTTCCTGTTCGTGCCATCTTGAAGCCTGGAGGCCTGCTGGGAGGAGGAATTCTAAACGACAAGTATGTCTGGAAAGCTGTGGTCCAAGGCCATTTTTGCTATGAGCGGGATCTCCAGAACCAAAGGGAGGACACAGCTCTTCTTAAAACTGAAGGTATTTATGGCTGAGATAAAATGAGATGTGATTTGGGCAGGAGATGCGCTTATGTGTACAAAGAATAATACTGACTCCTGGCAGCAAACCAGGCAAAACCACAGTAACATGGAGAAAGGGAACGTGTGCCCATGGGCACAGTGGCACAAAGTGTGCCTAATTCCAAAGCAGCTTCCTGCTGAGGCCACTATACATAGCGGCTCTGCGATGCTGTACTCCTCGAGCATCTGATCGAATGAAAAGTAAATCAATACAAATAAAAGTGGATTTGTAAAAAGAAAAGAAACATGATAGGAAAAGCCCCTCTATCATATATCAAGGGTTTCCCCTGACTTAATACCAGGTCTTCATACCCAGGAGTGTCTTTCTGCCATACTCTCTCTCGAGAATATCTTGCCTGTTCTCAGCCCTTTGAGTTTCCACACACATTTTAGAAACAGTTTGTCAAGATGCACATCAAAACAAAACAAACAAAAAAATCCGTTTGTGATTCTGATGGGAACTGTATGAGATTATAAACAAATTTGAAGAAAATTAACAACTACAAAGTGGATTCATATTTTAATCCATGAATACGCTGGATCCTTCAATTTATGTCTTCTTTATGGCCCCTCAATAAACGTTTACAGTTTTCTTCACAGAAATCTTGTACACTTTCTATTACTTACTCTTAGGCACTTGATTTATTTAATGCTATCATAAATGGTCTTTTTTACAAAAATAATCACCTTCTAACTGTAGCTGACATACAGAAATACCGCTGATTTTTATATTAATTTCATATCCAGGAACAATAAAAACTACTGTGGAAATAAATGAAACAGAATAGAAAAATCAACAAAACCAAAAGTTAGTTATTTGAAGAGGTCAACAAAACTGATATATTTTAGCTACACAGACCAAAAAAAAAAAAAAAAAAAGAGAGAGAGAGAGAGAGAGAAAGAAAACCCAAACTACTAAAATCAGGAATAAAAGAGGGAACATTATTACCAACATTATCAAAATAAAAAGGAGTATAAAGGAATACTATGAACAAGTGTATGCCAACAAATTAGATAAACTAGGTGAAACGGACACATTCCTGGAAAGACACTGTTACGGGCTGAATTGCACCCCACCCAGAATCAGAAACTGAGACGTTGAAGACCTAACCCCCAGCACCTCAGAATGTGACCTTATTTGGAAAAGAGTTTTACCAGCAGTTCACAAAACTCTTCTATTAATGCTAATGTTATCTGTAAGTTCTTTTTAATTTTCTACATTCACAGTTATATCAGCCATCGAAAATAGTTTTGTTTCTTCCTTTCTGATCTATTTGCAGTTCATTTCTGTTTTCCTGCCTTACTCCCCTGGCTAGGATCTGGCTGAAGTAATGATAATGGGCATTGTGTCTTATTCCTGATGTCAGAGCAAAAGTTTTTAATGTTAAACACTGGGCATCACACTTCTTACAATTTTTGTTTGTTTTAAAGAGATGGGGTCTCTTGCTCTGACATTCAGGGTGGAATATAGTGGTGTGATCATAGCTTACTGCGGCCTTGAACTCCTGGGCTCAAGCTATCCCTGCCTCACCCTCCAAGCAGCTGAGACTACTGGTGCACACGACCACACCCAGGTTGTTACAGCTTTTTTTTAAAAAAATCTTCCCTGCTATTGTTAGTTTGCTGTAAAAATTTTAAAAAAAAAATTTTTTTTATTATTATACTTTAAGTTCTAGGGTACATGTGTACAACGTACAGGTTTGTTACATATGTATACATTTGCCATGTTGGTGTCCTGCACCCGTTAACTCGTCATTTACATTAGGTATATCTCCTAATGCTATCCCTCCCCCCGGTCCCCTCCTCACAACAGGCCCTGGTGTGTGATGTTCCTCTTCCTGTGTCCAAGTGATCTCATTGTTCAATTCCCACCTATGAGTGAGAACATGCGGTGTTTGGTTTTCTGTTCTTGCGATAGTTTGCTGAGAATGATGGTTTCCAGCTGCATCCATGTCCCTACAAAGGACACAAACTCATCCTTCTTTATGTGCTGTAAATTTAATCATGGATATTACATTTTATCTATCTACTTTTCTCTACTGACATGATCATATGATTTTCTAACTTTAGCCTGTAATGAGGTAAATTATAGATTATACAGTGCCAAACCTTGCATTCCTGCTCTAAAACCAGTTTGGTCAAAATATATTATTCTGTCTATATATATATCGCTATTTTTAATTTACTAAATTTTGT